ACATGTGTAGTTAGATATTTTACGCTCTGGTTGCACTCCGCGGTCGATGTCCAGGTTGTTGGGGAAGCCTGACCAGGGTACAATGTCATTTAAGTGTTTGGCGGAGTGTTGAATTTTACAAGAAACAATTCCAAAACTTCTTATTTGTCTTTTGTAATTTAGCTCTAAAAACGAGTTCGCGTAAAAAAATATAAAAAGTGCTATTCCATGTATTGTTTTGGTATGCTGTCAGTCTAACTTTTAATATAGAAAACATCGCTATTGTAGTAATCAAATTTGTTTCAAGGTCAAAGTCCGGGTTTAGTATTAAATCTGACATTGATGGAAAGTTATAACAATGCTTTGTTACTGATTGATAATACTTAATAAATTGATTCCAAAATTTAACTGTGTGTGCACAAAAAATAAATACGTGTTCATAATCATCTACGGTATTACACAGGCTGCATAGTGGGCTATCTTTGATTTTCCATTTATACAGTAAGTATTTGGTTGGCATAATGCGATGTATTAACTTGAAGTTAAAATTCCTTAATTTGGCTTCTTTTACATTCATAACTTTTTGTTTCCACACTGAATTCCAATTGAGTCCTTCAGTCTGCAGTATTTCGTTCCAACGCTCTTGTGCGACAGGTGTTTTACTTTTATACTCGAGTAAAATCTTATACATTTTTTTTGTGTTTATATTTTCCAACTTACCGAGTTTTTCACTGATATGAACATGCCTTTCAGTTGGAATGTTATCTTTATTTAAGAGTTTTGTTAACCATACTTTGGGTAGGGCCTTCTTTAGTATATACATTTCAACTAGCCAGTTCTGTTTGCTAATTAGTTTACCACTCACATACCTGATGGAGAGTTCGCCCTTTTCATTCAAAATGTCATTTACATAAATGATATTGGATTTGATCCAATTTCTGAAGAACAAAGGTTTGTCGTTATACTTTATGTGTTGATTACCCCAAAGTACTTGTGTCTTTATCTCAGTTCGGGATAAATCTGCTTGCATTTTCTTTTGTTTGTTCAGTTTCTGCCAGCAGAGTATTATCTCTTTGTAAAATTGCGGTAATTTACCTGGAAGATTTGAAAAACATTTTGTATTTTTAAGGTTCATATTTAGGACAGCTAAATCAGGGCAACATAGATTAAGGAAGTAGTCACATAAGCTTGTCCATTTACCAGCTTTTTTGTTAATCAATTTAATGATCCAGTTGCATTTTAGCGCTGCATTGTGTGATTCAAAGTCAATTAGATTTAGACCTCCTTCATCTAAACCACGAATCAAAGTTTTTCTAGAAATCTTATCTATTTTCCCTTGCCAGATGAAAGGAAAAATCATATTTTCTATTTTTGTAATTTGTTTTTGTGGGGTTGGAATAACTGATGCTAGAAAGGTAAATATTGGTATTGCCAAGTTGTTTACAATGGTTACTTTACCTGGTAGTGTCAGGTTGCGTCTTTTCCACTGGTTAATTAAATTTGCACAATTAGTTATTTTTTCTTCCCAGATTAATTCATAGCATTCATACATGTTCTTTCCAAAGTAAACGCCTAGTGTTTTGCTTGGTCTTTGCTGCCAATTTATAGTTTCTTGGAGATTCTGGTCCAGATTAATATCGCCAATAACAAGTCCTGTTGTTTTTTGAAGGTTCAGCTTTGGACCTGCTATTCGTCCAAATTCTTTAACAACGTCAAGAGCGTTGTTGATTGATTTAGAGTCTGACATAAAAAGAGTGGTATCATCTGCATACATAGAGATGTTATTTTTGCATTTTTGTCGGGTTGTTGTTTATTTGAGGTATTATGTTGTTAACGATTTTTTGGTATGCAGGTGGATTTTGTTTTCGGCCAGAGCATTTTGTATGAAATGTCAAGAAATTTGCTTGTTCCTTGTTGCTTGAAGCCGAATTGTTTACATCTACAAAATTGTACCGTGAAAGCCATCATCAGTCATACATGTAGCTGACATTGGCTTGTGATACTCCATCTATCCAAACAACGGAACAAGGATGTTTTCAAATTATCCAAATATTATGCTGTAAAAGAGTATAGCAGACTTCGAGTTCCCTTTAGCTAACAATTAACATTCACTTCTTGTCTCAAAAACATCTTTAAGTGACGTCAACATGCACTTACTTGTGCGGTCTGCCGAGCTGTGGATTCTTAACGGAAGCGTTAGGAGTTCAGTGGTTACGGCAGATTTCATCTTGTCTCACACCTTGCCCTTCCGGTTTATTAAACCTGATTTCCAGCCTCACAAAGCCCACAATGTGTAGGCCTATAAACTTTCGATGGTGGGCCTACTACTACTGCTATGTGCATTAAGTGTCATGGAACATTCTGTTTGACATTCTTTAATTTGCTCATCTATAAATAATGTTTTTGAAGTTTTGTGTGGAGGTCTTGGATTGTGATAAACCAAACTGTTTACGACCAGACATTTTTACTGATGACAAGCAAACTTTGGTGCTACATAACTGTTAACATATTCATTGTGATTTATTCATCAGAAATGTTTTAAGCAACATAAATCTTAAAAGTTGGAAGTAGAATCTCCAGCAGGCAACAACCCAATGGCGTCCTTTCCACCTGCTTGGTGTCTTGTCTTCCTAGTTTTAAAGAGAGAACTCATGCAAAAATTTGACCCATCTGTTGTAAGGCTTGTACTTTGTAAACAGCTGAGTTTAATTGCCTAAATCCAGGTACAAATTGTCCTGACTTTGTTATATAATACTTGTAAATTATCTGCCCAATGAGGATAACCAAGCAATAACTGGGTTGCACCTGCCAATTACTGAATGGGAAAAACACACAACAACAGGTCTTATGATGTTTCCTGATATTAATTTGTATTGGTCAGAACAGGGACCATTTACAATGAACAGTACTCACACAAATATTTCAAATATTATGTGTTTGCAAATTGACTTGTGCTTGACTCAAACTTTACAAAACAAAGTTGCACGGACAAAATTAAGGTAAAAACTTAAAAGTTTTGAAAAAAAACCCCGCAATTTTTCAAGATCACGCCACTAGGAATGATGTCAAAAAGTGGGAGCCTGGAGCACCCCACGTTTTGCCGTCATCATTCCTGCCAAGAAGACAATTTCCTCCCTAGACGCAACTTCCTAAACCAATTTAGCGAGGTACCTGTCAACAGCCTCAGCCTAGCAGCAAGGGTCTAAAGCCCCCTGCACAGGAGCTGTCACGACCTTCGGAAGAAAGTAATCAATGCCACCCCCTTATTTCCAATTTCATTGCCCCGCCCTCCCTCCTTCCATGACATCTCAGAGATTAGAGCCGTTGGCACATTCAGGAAGATAGTTGATCAGGATTAGGGTTTCCCCTCTCTCAGCTAGCATCCAGCCCCCTCCCCTACTCCCACCCCCTATTGACTTCATGACTGTTCAGGGTCTCGGCCAAGGGAATGTTTGCGTGGGGGTGACATGTTTCTTGATTAGGGAAGTGCGTCATTGTAGGGAGGTGTCTCATGTCAGAGGGGTGGGGACGAATACATTTGGTTAATTCTGTGGTGCTGAATTCTGTTATAGCTTAAGGACATTCTTCTTTCTATGTTTCTCGGATGTTGGTAGACAAAACTAGACATGTGACTTGCATTCTCTAATTTCATTGGTCGAAAGTTTGGGTCACCTTTCATCCTATTTTCGTGTCGGTCAACAGGCAGTGCAACAACACCACGAAATTTGCATGCACTCAAGTCGTCTGGGTTTCCTGTGGATTTACCCTTTGCATCACCACTTGGCCAAAAACAGATCCAGAACCGCTATTCATGACGTCCTAAATGTCAAACAGGCGACGTAAACAGAATTTGGGAAACGGGTTAACTTCCCCAACTCTTTCCAGCTCAGCTCTTCCGTGCAGATGCATGCAATCCGGCCGTTTTCTCTTCTTTGATTGGCACATTAGTTCCGAGCCGAATCAATAAAAAACCCACGCAGATTTCCTCCCATGTGTTTTTGTTACTTCCCTGGCCAAATACTTAAAGAGAAAAAAGAAAAGAAAACAGGAGTTCAAGTCATAAACATCCTTGGATTGGTCGTCCCTCCAAAAAATCCATCCAACTGTCGGAGATCCCAGCCAAACTACGTCACTGTGGCCCAGTCACCTTGGCCAGTGACTTGTAAAAGAGTTGCAGGTGACTATTAGTATTATAATGAGATGTAACCTGCAGGGTCAGTGCAGGAAGTTATGGCTTTCAACTCTGTGGGCTGACGTACGTGTTCTCCATTCAGGATATACAGATACTGTTATATAGCCTCCTACACTGCACACTTGCTCATTTGTTTTCACCGCGTGCAGAACAGAGACAAGCCCGCTGGGGACTTTTCAGATATTTAGTTGTGCTCGTAGTTTTTGTGTGAGTGGAAAGGGGGAACCGTTGTCGTTGGAGTTTTCAGATAACTGCTTTTGTTGGTCGTCTGTTGCTGAAAATGGGATACAAAAACAAGCTGAAGAAGGTAGGCACGACAGTCCTGCAGTGTGTTTTCTTTATTTTTTTTGTTTGTGGCAACTTCAAAATTCTTTCTTGGATTCTTAGTATGGAAACTGTTCACAGAGAGAGAGGAATGTCAACGTTTGAAACTTTGTTGTTGGATTCATGTACTTTCTTTGAAGTTGGATATTGGATTTGGTGTTTTTGTTCATGAACGTTTGGTTTATCACATGTAACAACCGAGTGACAGCATTTTTTTTCAAAGTAAATAATTCAGCCATGTGGCATGTGTCTGGTTATGCCCTATAGGATTGCATTGGCATGTTTGACAAGGAGACTCAACTGTAGATTTTTTTGTCATTTTCTTTACAGGTTTTTTTGTTGAGACCATGATTCCATTGTTTCTGATGTTTTCATGTTTGTTTGATCAACTCAAAAAAAATATTGCCCCAATCCTTTTGCCGTGTTGTGACTTTTAATTTCAGCATGTTCAGTCTACAAGTACAATACATCATGGTTTTTGTTTCACCTCTTTCTTCTTCTGCAGGCCTTGGTCTACCAAGACGGCAATCTTAACTCCGGCACATTAGAGGCTTTTGTGCAGCACATGGTACCCACCGTGGACTATTACCCAGATGTGAGTAGCCATTTCTGTTTTCCTTTAAAAATAATTTTTAAAACTGTTATTTATTAAAAGGAGATGGTTGATTTTGTGAATGAGGAGAAATTTTCAGCCTCTGACTTGTGAGACATTTTATCTTGTATGAAGGTGAAACTTGAACAGTTTTATGCACTCGAAAACAAAAAGAAACTAATAAAGAAAATCTAATGACTATTAAAATGAAAATGAAACATCTCTATCACAAAGAATCAATTATAAATTACTCCCAAATTTGAGTGTTATAATCGTTGTATTGTTTCCTGTAGTGTACACTACATGTAAATCTTTATTGACATGAAATCACAATTGTTTACAACTCTCATGTCTGCAATCAGTTTTAACTTTTGCTCAAAGTTGTAAAAGTTGTAAAGTAGTCCTTCGAGCTTCAAGGCCAGATTTTTTTGATAGACGGTAAAGATCTTGATAAATGACCGCGTTACAGGATATTGTCTTGGCCATCAACAGTTTCCCCAGGAATCTGAAATAGCCAGTAGGACACGCAAACTGCTGTGGGGGAAAAAAAAAAATCTATTTTTATCAGCGGTGATACGCTGATGCATTTCCCGAGTAGATCATGCTCGCAGGTTTTCCTGTTGACAAGCCGGTTTGTGAATGAAGTGGAGGTTGAGAAAGTTCCGGGACACTGTCGGATGTTTGCGTTGCGTTCAGTTTTAGCCCAAAGGTTTTGAGATTAGTAAGCAGATGGGTGTCTCCTTAGCTCAATGCTTACCATGTCATCAGCCTGCAGGTTGTGATGTTTGTATGTAAACTGCTTACGATTGCTAATTTTGGCTTAAACAATGCAGCTAAGCAATATTTAATTTATTGCCTTGTACAAAAATAAATTGTAGCTTACAAATTTAAATGTCCAGCCTTGCCAGTTGCCACATAGATACAACTTTGGCATGCTGAGACTGACCTGTGCTAAGTTTACCTCGGGATAAAGTATTGAAGAACAGACTTCATTGTTCCACTAGAAAGTATAAAACCAGAACATACGTAGAGTATGATTGTAGAACTAATTAGTCTCAAGTTCAAACATTGTTTTTGCATACATACAAATGTATTCACACACGGGGCATTTGAGCACAGGAACATGTGACGTGTACATACATGTAAGATTGATAACAAAAGCCACAAACATGATCAGACCTGACAATGGGAAACTGTGGTTTTGTGTCGAACTTCAAATATGGATCATACAGCAGATGTTACATACTGGTACGTCTTCTTGTGGTTTTCGTTGTTCAGTTGGGAACAATGCTCCAATGTCCCCATAATGTTTTGTAACCAGTGTACCGGTACATGTAGGTGGTTCCGGCTGTTAAATAGTGTTCCCCAGGCAACAATCAAACTTTGACATATGATTCATATCTAAATCAATTTAATAAATTCTGACATAATTACTGTTGCTATATTCCATTTTACTTTGAAAGAAATCGTTAAGGCAACATTACCATAACTGTTGGGATCTGTTCTTTTCTTTTTATAGCTCCATGATATTGTTGAAACCCAAAATTTAAATACTAACAAGAACTTGTATTTTCAAATGAAATTCAGCCTTAAGTTGTTCATTGCTAACTAAAGTTTAACCCCAAACAAGCACTTGAAGAGTATTTGAGTTCAGTCTGTCGGATAGGAGAACAAAGTTTTCTAGGAGTAAACTTTGAGAATGTCATTGAGAGGTTAAATTTTTATACTCGCCACCAACTGACCATTATTTCTCCATGGTCATACACGTTTTCAGTCTTGTTTAGATGATGAAGCATAATACATGTAGCCTTGCTCTGAGGATGGGCTCATCCTAGACCCTGACTTAAAAAGATCCCTATTTCCTTCCTAGGTCTGGTGTTCCTGCATTGTCAGGGAATTTACTGGCCCACCCATTAACACCCCTTAGCACCCTCAAGCCACGCCATTACCCCCTAGGGATTGCAGTTTTATCCAGGGGAAACCTCTTTGGATTTTGAATCCTGTAGCCAATAAGTTTTGATGGTTCATAGGTTTTTTTCTTCTTTTGACAGAAGTCGTTTTTAATGGTCTCAAAATCAGCCACACATGTGCATGATTGGGCATTAAGTGAATTTGTATGGGCCACATGCGCAGTGACTAGTGTTATAAAATAGCATTTAGACCAGACAAGCAACCTGTTGTCAATTTGCTTACTGTAGAACTAGAAGGCAGAAAAATGTGTTTTAAATTCTTTGTTCCAAATTTGACTTTTAATACATACATGTACGTATGAAGTCCGGGTACTTTCGGAAACCCTGCAGTGCATTGATAAATACGGATGAACTAACTGTGTAATAAAATGCAGAAGGCATCTATGTCTGGTCTCCAGAGACCGCATCACAATGTCACATGGTTGATTGCCACTGGCAGGTTATTGGCACCAGCCTATTGCGCTCTGAATCCTCGGCACATTTCCAAAAGATTTCAACTATATGTAAGCAGCAGGCATGACCCTGGCTAAGTTTTACACAAAAGCTTCTAAGCAGAAAAACATCGCTTGGTAAATTTATGCTGTAAGCAAAAAATCAACGGGGAACCAGTTAAAAGCAATATACATCACATGACATTTTGGCTGGAAACCTGTTTTCGCTAAGCAAATATTTTCTGTGCTAAGCAGATTTTTGTGCTCAGCAAAAAATCGTCATGAAATTAGCCCCGGCTGTCTCCAAGACAGAGCGTCGGCGATAAACACAGGATGATGCGCCGATGATGAGGATAAGATAATGCGGACATCCGATCGGTTCGATTCTTCTCTCTCTTTCCCTCTCCTGGGTGAATCACTGCATTCACTCTCGCTGTCTCTGCCACCCTTCCTCTCGGCAAACATTAGATAGTTTCAGCAGAATTGCTCCCAGATGGTTCAAGTCCCCCCTGGCTCCTGCCCAAGATTTATTTTTGGATCCGTGCTGATCCAAATTTGATAATAGACACTGTTCGTGGAGAATTGCGTAGTAGAGGATAGAAAAGAACTTTCTGGGGTTAAGATGGTTCATACAAGTTTCTTCATCACTTTTGTTCTGAAACTCTGGGGTCTTAACGTGCAGTTGAATGTGAATGGCCATTTGTTCTTAGAAGTTGGAAAATACGTGTACATGTATTATTTACCTTTGTGTACATGTACATAGACGTAGAAAATATGGCATAAAGGTTTGGGAAAAGTGCATCCCTTTTTTAAAAATTGCATCGCTTAATTATAGCTTGATTTCAAGTGAACGTTTTATTAAACCCCTGACTATCGTCAAATGTTTTCTGCATCAATCATGATTTTGCTCTTGGTAAAAAAAAAAAATGTAGTGAACGAGTCATTAACCTGATAACCTGAAGCCGTATAATTCTAATGTAAACCGTGTTCCCAACGTGTCACAAAAATTATTTGAGAAGGAAATCGAATTACCTGCGCAGTCTTCTGGAATGGAGGGGCGGACTCTGTTTTGAAAAGTCAGAAATGGTGAAGTTGAGCAAGATTGATTGGACCCCAAGTAGATGTTATGTTGGCGTGATCTCACTCTTTAAGACCTCGAGGCGGGGATTAAACATGTGGGTGGGGGAAACTTGGAAGCGGAATCGGTAGAATCCTTGAACTTTACCAGCTGTATCCTTCTTAAAGACAGATGCTGGCTGGAGCAAAAGCTTGCGAATGGGTCAAGATTTTGCAGATGTGAATGACCTGAAATGTTATTGAGATCACTGTTTTGCAGTGTTCAGGTGGGTTTTTTTTTTTGGGGGGGGGGGGGTGGATGTCAGAGGTACAGAGAATTACATGTAGGAAGGGAATCAGAGTGCTTTGAGAAACTCCGAACTAACGTTTGACTTCTAATAGAATCTAGAAGCTCGGATTTAAACTAAAAAATTATTCTTAATAAAATCCTCTTAGGTTCAACTGAAAGCAAGACATTGAAAATCTGCGCTTAACGTAGATAAGCATGCCCATGGACAAGACCACAACATTTTTGGCTGATTTGCCAACTTTTGGAAGAAGCAAAAGCCCCTTTAAGCTAGAGTTTTGAATGGATTTAATTTCCATCTACATTGAAACTTTACTTCTGCTTGGGAATTGTTTTGGGAAAACTTTCGAGAGAAGCGACGCAGCATCACGTCCTTTGACTCAGATTAATGCTGTCAGGGGCGTAGGAAACTTTTTTCTCCTCAGACAGGTGTGCCCCAGGCCCCAGGAGGATGACGCACACCATGACCAAGTGTTACTTTTAAGGAATCATCCAATTAATAACAATTACAGGCTAATTTTTTGGACAAGAAAAACTCTCAGCCCCAAACCAGTTGCTTGAGGGAACCCCACCCTTGTTTGGGGTAATTGTGAGGGGCAGGCATTGACTTTGATGCGTGAGCTGTCCATGACACCACTTCAAGTTCATAGCTGTCCTTCCAACCCGCCTCAGGGCATTAGTAATTTTTGTCTCCTTTTTTGCCACTTTTATCATGAAGGACTTCCTCCATTGCTCAGTCACACACCCTTCAGACTCTACTTGCACAAACTTCCTTTTTAGTTTTACCCCCTCATCTGATTTTTAAGTCTAACACTTTTTAATAAAATCTGCTGCGTTTAGTTCAATCGTTCACTACCGTGAAAATGCAGGATTGTAGTTCACTCTTTTTTTTGGTTTGTGGTTAATTTTTGTGGGTCATTCTATAAATAATGGGTCCACTTTTTTCCTGTCCCTGTCTAACATCTAAGATTTTAATATTCTGATGCACTCTCCAAGAGTAATTATGCGGTCGTCCTCCAAGAGTGATTAAGAATAGCAAACTAAGTAACCAACAAATACAATGTTCAAATCATTTGAAGTCGATATCATTTTTAATGATATTTGAATGGCATATTACAAAGTACCAAGGTAAGGGACAGGAAGAATGTCACAATTTGGACCCTAAATTTATAGAATTGTTCAAGCATAGAGAAAAACAGTTCTTGCTCTATGCTCTATGGTTCAAGCATGGAGCTATAAAACAGCATGGCTATAATGTTTTTGTGTTTCAAATTCATTTGAGAGGCCCAAGAGGCCTGCATTTTGTTCCTTACTCCATGCTCCATTACTCCTTGACTCATGGTATAAGATTACCAGACCACCAGGACCTAAACCAACATTACTACCAATGAATAACCATGTTCTTCCTTGGCGGTTTTAGGGTGCTCATATATCTCAACCTCTTATCTTCAAGGTCCTCTGTGGTTAACTGGGATCATTAAATCTGTACTCCTGTTACTTCCTGTCTGCTGTTTCATGTTTTGTCTCACAGGGTGGTCTTTTTTTTAGAAGGATGAAATGGAACAAAGCTGGCTTTGTTTAAGACTTTTGTGTCATCTCATGCTCTTGACCTTCACCTGAGGTCTTGGAGATGTCTGGGTCTGAACATTTTTTGTTTGGATTATAATATCAAAGTTTAGATTTCTTTTTATGAAGAAGGAGTCTTTGTGATGAAATTTTGCTTAAATTTGCACCATGTGTTGACAACAGAATCTGGAGTTTGTGTGTGGCATAATAACTGCCAGTTGGTGGAGAATCTCTGAACAGGTGGACCAGAACGCCATCAGCAGATGTTTGCTCTCTAGGATCTACACAACAGGATATCTTCCATCTTCCTGATATTTAATCCTCTGTCTCCTTACTGCCACGCCCCAAGCCTTAATGCCAGTAAATGAAGAAGATTAACCATCAACAATGATTTTCAGTTTTCTATTTTTCTGTTTACACTAAGGCAGCAAAGGTAGTTTTTATTAGCTTATCTAACAGGAAATTATGCTGGCTTAGCGGATCTTCGTCTTCAGCTCAAAACTGACTGCACCAATTAAGTAGATGGTCACTTACTGACCATGGACTAACTACACCCCTCTACAGGATGCTTAAGACATGTACAAGACCCTGTTAGTTTAATTATGACATACATGTATGTACCGGATGCTTTAATCATTTTGGAGACAGTAGGATGAACGATTCCCTGTGTAATTTCCAAGTTATTTTTCATGAATATTAGTGGGATAAAAAAAAAATAGATGCGGCAGCTGACGTGAACGGCTCATCTGCTATCAAGCGTTAGCAGAATCCCTTGCAAATCTTTTTATGGGATGAAAAGGGATTTAGCGAGTTTGTGTCTTTGGGAAGACAAAAATAGAGGGACGGACTGACGCCAAGTCATTATGCTGATGAAGCTTGTGACTGGATTACTGGATTATGAGTGGAGCAGAGCTAGGAATAAAATGCTGATGTGGTCATGTTTGGTGGTTTGGTTGATTGGTTGGGGGTGTGTTTTGGGTGGGGGTGGGGGATGTTGGAGGGGGGATATGGCCTTGGGGGATATGGCCCTGGGAGATTTTGCCCTGGGTAGTAAAAAGTAAAAGAGGATATAAACCTCAACCCGTCAGTTATTCATGGGGGTCTTCTATATTAAGTACAGCTGAACTTCAACTGTAACCCAGTACTGAACATTTTGGCTGTGTCATGTACCTTGCTACATGAAGGGAATAGTTAACAGCAGGTTCACTTGATTCATAGAGCAAGGAACTTTGCTCTATGACTTGATCTCCTCTTATTCGAAGATGCTTAAAAAAAGTGACATCACCTAACCCCGTGATTGTGAGCAGAAACAAACTGCGGTTTTAACTCACTCCAGTATGACTGGAGATGTCCAGATTTATCCTGTCTCGTGGTTTGCATGCCTTAAAGAAGAGTCAAGATTCTTTAATTATGTGTTCCTGCGGTCAGACAGAGGCCACACTGTGCCTTAGCCATGAACCTGATCCGGGCAAGGTCTGAAATATTTCTTCCCTAATTCCTTGACGTCTTTTGCGGTTTTCCAAACTCTGTAACCTCCGGGTTTGTTTATATTTCAGAGTTAATGGGTTGTTGAGAGGCAGGGCTTGAAATAAAGTGGCAGCCAAATTGGATTTCATCCTAACCATGACCTCTGAATTGAGAATTGAAGACTAGAAAATTCTTGGCTTTAAATTTGAGGAATTTTCAAGATTAGTTTGGAGTGATTTCCCCAAGGCCTTGGTCATCAAAATTCAGGTTTTGGATTTTGAAAAGATAAGGCTCTTTACATTTGTGAATCGGTAAAGTTTGGTGTTAAATTTACAGTTTAGACTTTTTAATACTCGAACTATAGGCTGACAGTTGACTGTGCATCGCCAGATTTTTCCATGGAACTTCAATTAATTTTCTGAGAATATAAACAACTCCCCCCCCCCCAAAAAAACCCCCAAATTCAGATACCGAGCTCTATAATGCTTTTCAGTTTCTCAAATCCATATATGAACAATGCAATTTTCTTCTCGTCTTTATAGAGAACGTACCTGTTTGCCTTTCTCCTCAACTCCCGCCTCTTCATCAAGCCCCACCAGCTCCTCCACGATGTCTGCCAGGTCTGCATCCGGCAGCAGAAGCTGGGCAGCCCCGAGATGGACAGGGAATCCTCCAAGAAATTCAGCCTCAAACTCCTGCAATTGCTCATGTGAGTAAGAATGACGAGTATAGATTTTTATCTGAACATGAAACAGTCTCATAATGCTAAACGTGGTCTGGTCCTAAATTCTCATCCGCTGACCGGATATCTCTTGATTTTTTTTTCCCTTCTCCAGTGAGTGGACAGAGACATTTCCTTATGACTTCAGAGACGAGCGCATGATGAGACATCTGAGGGACATCACGCAGAAGTGCGTTGCGGTGGATCAGAGCCTGAGGAAGACTGTTGGCCAGCTCATGCAGGCATTAATCAGAAAGGTATGGGTTAAAGAGTTTCGAGGATCAGTGTGAAATTGCTACCAGTGTCTTGACTTGGTTCCTTGTGTTATTCAGAAAATCTCTATGGTGAATTTTTGAAGAGAGAAGGGGCAACCAGATTTTGCATGCATGCAACTTTTCCTCGGATCCGCTGATTTCCTCGTTTTTTTACTTCTCATGAATGATATTACAAATTGCAAAAATACTGTACAAAGTCTTGTGTGGTTTGAATTTTGGAGTTTCCTTGTTTTTTCTTGATTCCCAGTTGCATGCCTGATTTTGGGATGACTAAATGCCACTTGCTCACACACAAACATGAGTCATAATACACAAAAAGCAAGTTTTGAAGTCATACTGCTTTTACCCACCTAAATTAAAAAAAACGGACTGAGAAGATAAATTGTTTTGTTAAATCCTGTCTTGCTACTATCAGTCTCACAGTAAAATGATAAAATACCAATACAGAAAATGACACTTTCCAGCAGGTCATAGTAACATTTGAAGCACTTCAAGTAACATCTTGAACCATCTTTGTTGCAACAGCTGGCTACGTTAGAGAAGTACGAGGACGTCTTGTCGAGAGTCAACTCAGCCGCCACGGAGCGGATGCATTCATTGCGGACAAACCCAGCAGCATTCCAGACCAACATCATTGACGTCTGCCCGAGTGCTTACGTCTTAGCGCAGCAGCTCACACACATAGAGCTGGTAAGGAAATAGGGGACATTTAACAATTTTGATAGTCAGACTTGTTGGAAACTTTGTCCTTCATGTCAGAATATTCTTGTTACTGTTGGCAATAGAAGCCACCGTAAACAGCGCCATCTAGTGTCAGATATTGTCCAGCGCTGTCCACTATGAATAGTGTCCCGTAGTGTTATAAGACGTAGCCTATTGCCTCCACCAACATCCTCAATACGAATTGGTCTGGCACTTCCCACAACTGTTGCGTTGCGATTTTCTGTCATGGTTTCTTGGGACCGAGGAAATATGTAACATCATATTTAATTTTGCCAAGAATTTGTGTTGTATCTTTCCTGGAGAACTGACAAGGACTTTATTTAAAAGGAAATGTTATGAAATTGGGATTGTTCTATTAATGGCGGACTAAAATAAAAACTGAGTTTCCCAATTTGAATTTGCTCTCAATTTACGTGAGATGAAAGCATTTTTGCGAGATGAAAGAATTTGTTTCCTTGTTTTCTTGTGGGTGTTTGACTTCTTAAAGTTGGAAATGTTGATGCCTAAACTTTTTTTCTTTTTTTCCCTTGAAGGAGCGGTTAGCAAACATTGGACCCGAGGAGTTTGTGCAATCATTCATTAAGGAAGAGAAGAACGATACCACGGTAAGCATCAACTGTGATTCCATTGGATACCTTGGCAGGATTCGAACCCGTAACATCCTGAATTTCTGTCGCGAATGTTAAGTCCAATAGGTTTTTAATTGATATGAAGACAACCTGAGTTTGAGTCGAACATGAGACGTAATGGAGCGTTTCACTATTCAGCTGTATAGTGTGCCTGTTTCTAATTTACTTATGGGTTCCGTGCACAAGTACCCCCTCAATGGTAAGAAAGGGAGAGTTTGGGGAGACCACTGGGAGAAACATTTGTACGCATTGTGGATGACGCCTGACGCTCACGCGAAGATGCTATGGCTTTGTGTACATTCAGAATAAAATAGTCGTGCGTACTCCGCGCCAGATGCGTAAAACGCCCTTTCTTGTTTGCATACAGATCCCATTTGCAAAAAGGAAAAACAAACAAGCTATGACGAGTTAAATAAACACATCTGTCTTTGTTTCTATTATGTACAGGTTCGGTTATTAGACCTGAAGAGAACCAAGAATCTAGAAGCCTACGTGGAATGGTTCAACCGTCTGAGTTATCTTGTTGCGACGGAGGTCTGCATGCACATCAAGAAGAAGCACCGAGCCAAACTCATTGAGTACTTCATCGACGTGGCGAGGGAGTGCTACAACATCGGCAACTTCAACTCTCTCATGGCCATCATGTGTAAGTGGCGAAGTTTGTGGAGTATGGCAAATTTTCATGGCTCTGCTAAGAGTGAATCTGTCCTGTTCATCATTGTTCTACAGATCACCTAAAAGTAACCTACCGAATTATTCCAAAAGCTTACTTGGATTAAAGATAATACTGGTATTAAACAACCAGTGAAATTATTCCGTCTGGCTTGCTGTCATTTAGAAGAAATCAAGAAGTGTAGATGATTTCAAACGATCGTTTAATTAATTGATTTTTGGAAATAAAGAGTACTATTGACGAAATCGTGATTCGTGATCAAAACATTGTCAGTGGTTTTTCACTGTTTTCTCGATAAGTGTAATATTGAGCAAATATTCTATTTTAAGCAGAGCCTTGAAATCAAACCCAAATCTTGAAAAAAAGAAGATGTTTTGCAATGAGCCAACAATACTGTAGAGTAGGCCTACTTTCTCCAAAGGTTACAATTTGCCTCGGAAGGTGAAAATGTCAGTGACCTAAAATTTCCCGTCGGCCGTGGATGTCCCTCGTGTGAAATATTGGATGCAGGACTGATAGGGTTATGATTTGAATCACGGATGTACTACACTTTGCGGGTCTATATTTTTATTGTAAAATGGAAAACACTTGTCAGAATTGTCATGAGAGATGGGAATTGTTAGGGGTAGGATGGGACAATGGTGCGGAAACGGTGGGGCGTGGCTACATCTTCCTCGAGGAAATGCAGAACAGTCCTTTCCTGAGATGACTGACACAGGTGGAGTTACAAGATCGTGTAACTGCTGTTTTTACCTGCATTATTTGTTGAGGATTCATGATTTTGTTTAATCGTTCAGTTAGATTAAATCTGGGATCGATCTGTACCTGGAAGAAGATTGAGTGTTTCTCTTTGAAATACCCATCATTGACAGAAACGTTCTCTGTTCTTTCTTTCTTACAGCTGGCCTGAACCTGAGTCCAGTCACAAGACTGAAGAAGACTTGGGGCAAAGTCAACATGGACAAATTTGAGATTCTGGAGGTAAGAAAAAAAAGAGAAAAAGTCTGTTTTCCATTATTCAACCGAAAATCGACATCATAATAAGTCATGAAGATCCCTCGGGCCCAGTTTGAGATTTGTGACACCTTCAAGTGCCATGCCGAACCAAATTATTCTGCAGATTTGTATTAAATTTGAAGTTTAAACAATTGGGAGTGACCATACTTTACGGTCATCAAAAAAGTGTCACAGTTGTTCAGAATGACTCCACAGTCTGAGTAAATGTAAAATAAATGCATAAAGATTGTGTCTAATACTTCTTAGTTTTGTAAGACTCGGAAAATAATGTTGTGTTCCACTCATGTTTTCCAGCACCAAATGGACCCAACGGGTAACTTCACCACGTACCGTCAGTCACTGCGGGCGGCCATGCAGAGGGCGTTGGGGGCCCAGGACGGGGCCTGCGATAAGATCGTCATTCCCTTCTTTAGCCTGTTTGTCAAGGACCTCTACTTTCTGAACGAGGGCTGCATGAACAAGCTTGCAAACGGCTACATCAATTTCCAGGTAAGTCCAAAAAAAACAACCCAAAAAATCACTGACGCTGGGCATAAAACTTGTGAGTTAGACCTGCACATTTTCAAAATGTGAGTTTGATTTCTTCAATTTTGTAAAGTGCCAAGGCACGTGTCAATGTCCGCCCCCTTTGCGTGAATCAGTCACATGAAGAAAATATGAATATGGTGATGTGACTCACGTGAAATGCTCAAGGCTACAGGTGTATTACATTTGAACATCGGATGATACGCATCAATCACATTTTTCCTTTCAGTGACAGCCGTTCGTCCTTATTCGTGCTCTTGCCAAAATTTTGTAGTTGAACAGTTGCCCTAATTTCTCCCCCAAGTGCTGGTGTTATTGACCAGATATTTGGCCGAGTGCCATTTTCCCCCTGGCAGAAATTCTGTCATAAAGCCAATCAGGCTATGGCCATGTGACATCAGCATGTGACATGAGTCATGTGACATGTCCCGATCAGGGCCCGATCACATGGCGCTGCCAAGCAAGCAAGTTTCTGCCAACAGAGCCTCTGTCCGACCACGAGGGAATTTTATTAAAATAATTAAGTAAACAATGGATATCTCCATGTGTCTGCGAGTGCATTTATGCCGTGAATACAGTCAGCACAACTGTTGCACTACTGTTGACCCATTTTTTCTGCAAACCGTCATTTTGTCCATCAGCAGAACGAAAATCTGCCCCAGATGTCCAAATCACTGCAGCGTTCTCTATAAGACAAGCCAAAAAAGCCAGTGATGTGGATTAATCATTCTATTTTGGGATTTCTTTCTCGGCAGAAATTTTGGCAGACGGCGAAGCAGGTGACGGAGTTCATGACATGGAAGCAGGTGGAATGTCCCTACCCACGAGACAGGCAGGGTCTCAACTACTTACTCACAGCACCAGTATTCTCTGAAAATTGTAAGTATCGACACAAATCCACTCTTAAAAGCCATGAGCATACTTGAGGCAAATGCAACTGTGAAGGAATTATGACACCTGGAAACATGTGCACAAAATTTGCAGAACTTAGAAATGTGTTCAACTGTTGCTCGTTAAAATGGCCACGACTTTACAAATTTACATTTTCACCGATTCTGAGTATGAACCAGCCCTGATTGTTTTTTCAAAGTTTTTCTCATAGATGTATGTTATTGCTATATTTTGACAAATAATTAATAATCCGTTTTGTTTTTTACAGCACTTTACTTAGCATCGTATGAGAGCGAAGGACCCGAAACAAACTACGAGAGAGATCAGTACAAGACACTCAAGTAAGTCAGCCAGGTTTTCTGTTCACAGTCAACTTCATCTACATTCATGTCTTTATAATAATCTGTATATTTATTGGCACCAAATTTGCTAATGGACTCTGCGCACCAACGGTAGATGGCGTTATGTGACCACTTTGAGAGCTTCAGGGAGGGGCACATTGAATGTGCCTACTGACGTTTGTTTATGGTGTGAATCGCGGACACACACGTGCAACATCATCGATGAATTGAGGACAGGAACCAAATCGAGGACAAAACCGTGTACAAAACGTGTACAAAACCAATGAGAGCTGCAAAAAAAAGTTAGAGTATAAGCAAAGGAAAAGGGAAGAGGAACAATAGAAAATCCTTGATTTACACCCTAAACAATCTTGCTGGTTCTTGTGCGTATGGTGCCAAGAACGCACAACTTATTGAATCCTAAATCTGCACACACCCATAACGTCTTTGCGTGATCGTCGGGAGCTGTCAGTGTTGTGTTCGAATGCCCCTCCCAGTGGTCTATCCTTTGTAACTTTTGAGGGTGTTGACTTGTGCCCCGAGTCCATTCATTTTTCCAGCTGAGAAACCTCATGAAAAAGGGCGTTAGTCGGTACTCGGGTTAACTCAAGGAAAACAGAGTGCACTTAGTAGCTGTGTGTATATTACATAGACTGCTTAAAACAAACGTTTAATCAAATAATTTTTGTTTGCAGGTTACAGTGCAACGCGGCCAACAAGTAGATTCAAGTTGCTAGTTGGACCAAACAGTTGATTGAACACTTGGTGCACTGAGCGACAAACAGTCTGTTTGAACAATGCCCAAAGCACTCCGTCTCGTGATGTACAACGCCAGATGGTTCTCCAAAATTGAAGCCAAAAGTCCATCATGCAAGAATTGCCGAATCTCGTGACCATCGCGGAGCCGGTTCCAATTTTTTGGAAATCTGTCAAGTCTTGGGAAGGAAAATCCGCTCGGGAAAAAAACAATCCTACTACTTTATCTGCACATCTTCATGGGCCAGCTTCAGCATTAAAAACAAATTGAAGGAAGGATTTGGAGATGTTCGTCGATTGGTTCCTCGCCCATTCCAAAGAGACTTCTTGAAAGCAGAGCTTAACGCTGTCGGTAAGAGGACACTGCATCAGTCACTCTCAGATTGAATCCTGATGACTGCCTTGTCTCAGCTCTCCTGAAATATGGTCAACAGAGGGCGCTAGACTGATGACACAGTCACCTAGAGATGATATTAAAGTGTCACTTCCTCCCCAGTCAACTTTTTGGCAATTTTTTTGTTTTTCTTTGCTACTCACAAATGGCATATTATTGACCTAGATATTGTAAGCCTGTATCCACATTACCTGGCTGTGGCTGGGTAACACATGCGACTATGTGAAGTGGCTTCAGCTGCCTCCATAGGTTTGTGTGTGATTGCTAGCCGTAGCCCTGTAATTCAGACATGGTCTTCATTTGAGTAACACTATTGAGGCTGTACACAAGCTGAAGAATTTCAAGCTGAAGAATTTCAAGATGTATAAATTAAGAAAAAAGTAAAATTTGTCTTTTGTATATAAGAGATGATGTATTCAGAGTCTAGACCAGAGGACTTTTATTTTGATTCAAAAACGACACGTTTTGGACAGTTTCTTTTTTTATATACATATTTTCTGATTTATTTTTCTGTTGCTGTTGACAGATGTATTCTTGCTGGTTTGTAACAGTTGCATCTTCAATTTTTTTTAGTAGTTTTATTAAAAGGAAAATTGTTTCTTTCAAGGTATATTCCAGACTTCAAGCATCTTTCACTTTTTATTTTATTTTGGCAGTGTACTTTTACTGGGAAACACTGTTAAAATCTTAGTAACATTTTCTGTCGGACTTTTATTTTTTTAAGATAAAAATGAAGCAAATTACTTTTATCTTAAAAACTTATTCAGATTCAGAAAGATGAGTCACACGTCTTGTGAACCAGTTTGCAAATTATAAAATCGTATCAATGCAAATTGTTAATTTTGGGGGGCAAGAATTGGGGCAAAAAGGTGCCATCTTAGCACAGAGAGCTGTCCCTTTGATACTCATTTGAACCAAAAACAGTACAAACCCAGCTACGTAAACGATTTCCGAATTTTTAATGTGTGAAGTAGAGGTATATATATTTAAGGAATCATTTTCCTACTGAAATCTTATATGGCTCCTGATTAGTGCCCCTTGAACAAAGACATTGGCAAAATGGGGAACCACCAACATAGGGCTGGATAGCTCAGTTGGTAGAGCACCGGAACGGCAATGCGGAGGTCACAGGTTCATGCACTGCTCCAGTCAATTTTAATGTTGAACTTAATAATTATGAAATTTTGTACGACTGATTCCCATAAAGCTGAACGGACTCACAGCATTAGATGTCTTATGATGTAATGGGATTCTTGAATGAATGGAAAAATATTCAACATTAGTTCTTGTGCCGTCGTATATTGGTGAAATTGATGCTTTTAGTAATGATAGTTGATCATCAAAAGAATTGTACAGGTTGCATACCAAAATGAAACAAACTTCAAATGAAAATAAAACAATTCAAGACTTTTGATTGTTCAACTGTTTGACTAATCATCACCTCTATTGCTTGAACAAAAAATGGTGAAAGAATCAAAATAATCATGGAGTTAGTGAACATTATTCTAATATTTTTGTGATCATGAGAATATTTAAAAGTAACAATCAATCAACTTAAAATCAATGAATTTTTGTATGTATTCAGTAAATGCAACCTGCTGATTCTTACTATGATCACATCTAGCCATTGGACTGTGTGATATTCAGTATTAAAAGTTGTGTAACTTATTGTAAATACAAAGAGCTCTTTTTTTGTTTGTAAAAAATTATGTCAAGAAAGTAGCGAGATGAGAAATGAAATTGCTTGTAATCTTGCCTTAGATTATTGAAAAATGTGATACAATTTTTGGGTAAAATGAAACAAAAACACTTAACACCCCACTGGAAATATCATGAGTCTAACTAAATATATGAATCAGGATTTGTCAGAGAATCATGCCGGACATAGTTTGAAAGTACAAAACATGTATGTTAGTTCAGTCCAGATAGAATTTGGTTTCATACAGATGAGTGTAATGCAAATTTTCATTTACTTTAGCGACATCTGAAATCAAGACACTGTGGTCATGTCGAAATAAGACTGCAATACTGATGTCTCCCATGCATTCATGAAGTCACTTCTGTTTCGAACATTGAGTTATTTTTACAAATAATAAACTCAACAGGTATCCCGCAACATATGCAGGCATTCTCACAAAATTGATGTGTAATTTCAACATACGAATTTGACAGGAGTAACATGTACAATCAATAACTTTAATTTCTTTCAAAAATGTTATTCAGCAAAGATAATACTTCAGCCCATAACTTGTAAAGTGCTTTCTGCTTCTCGTACATTTCAAGAAAGTTGTACAGTTTATGTATAAAGGAAAAGAAACTCTGTTTGACAGATGGCAATAAACCAAATGCCACAAGAATTAGAGAAATGTATGTTTTCTTTGTGTTTGTTTTTAGTTTATTTCTGTTTATGATACAAGGATTCCTCAAAAAAGCACAATTGTTTTGATATCTAGTTTGTAAACACTGAGGTAATTGTTAGGGGTTTTCCTGGAATGTGCGTAAGCCATAATAATTTTGTGGGTTGATAGGGCGCTCTATATTCAATAGTTAGGCTATAGAAATGTACATATCGCCAACAGAGGACACTAAAGGCTATTTATGGTCTAAAAAACACCGTTTAATGGTTTGAGGCTGAATTTCGCCAAAATCTATCCATCAATAGAGGGCGCAAAATATTCCTTTCGAAAACGCGTAAAATCCGTCATCAATAGAGGGCGCTAAACATTCGATTTGAAAATGGCACATTTTGATTTTTACCACTGTACATGTATCGACAGCAGAGGGTGCTTTTTTTTCACACTGTTTTGGTCTAAAACCACCGTTTATGGTCCGCTGCGGCGGAATTCCGCGTAAATTCCATCCGTCATTAGAGGGCGCCAAATATAACTATTGGAAACGCTTGAAATTTATCCATTAATAGAGGGCACCCTATATTCCTATTGACATCAGCAAATTTTGACTTGTACCACGGTATAGTCATTGAATTTGTAATGATTGTCGATAGAGGGCGCTCTATACTGAGTATTTTAGCAATACAACTCAAGACTGTACATATATCGTCGTTAGAGGGCGCTTAACACTGTTTATGGTCTAAAAACACCATTTATGGCCCGCCAGAGGCGATAATCATGTAAAAATGCATCTGTCAATAGAGGGCGCCCTATATTCCTTTTGAAAAAGGAAAATTTGGACTTGTACCACGGTAAAGTCATTGAATTTGCATATTCTGTCGATAGAGGGCGCTAAACACGGTTTATGGTCTAAAAACACCGTTTATTGTCCGCTAGAGGCGATATTCGCGTAAAAATCTATCCGTCAATAGAGGGCGCCCCATATTCCTATTGAAAACGGCAAATTTGGACTTGTACCACGGTATAGTCATTGAATTGGCACGTTATGTCGATAGAGGGCGCTAAACACTGTTTATGGTCTAAAAAACACCATTTATGGTCCGCTAGAGGAACTCTATGGCTAGAGGCGATATTCGCGTAAAAATGCATCTGTCAATAGAGGGCGCCCTATATTCCTATTGAAAACGGTACATTTTGACTTGTATCACCGTAAAGTCACTGAATTTGCATATTCTGTCGATAGAGGGCGCTAAACACGGTTCATGGTCTAAAAACACCGTTTATGGTCCGCTAGAGGCGATATTCGCGTATAAATCCATCCGTCAATAGAGGGCGCCCTATATTCTTATTGAAAACGGCAAATTTGGACTTGTACCACGGTATAGTCATTGAATTTGCACATTCTGTCGATAGAGGGCGCTAAACACTGTTTATGGTCTAAAAACACCGTTTATGGTCCGCTAGAGGCGATATTCGCGTAAAAATCCATCCGTCAACAGAGGGCGCCCTATATTCTTATTGAAAACGGCAGTTTTTGACTTAACAAAACACTAAATTAAAATTCCCCTTTTTTAACACATTTACTGTCATTCCTCCTTTTTTATTAGGGGAGGGGTAGCAAACCATGTTTACCCTATATTTCATTTCAAATGGGAAACACAACAAATAACATATGAACCAGAATTTATCAACATTCACACAGAAAATAGTTTATTCACAAAACATCATTCATTTTCACGTTGTTCATTAACAAAAAACAAAAGGACAGTCATCTCTCTTTACATTTACCTTTACAAGTTCAAATTAATAATTCTATACAGCCTGAAATTAACCATAACAGTACTGAATCCTCCAATTTCAATATGATTTTGTCAGATACAAAAAACGATGACGGCATTTCTAAGTTCCATTTCAAGGAATACATGTATGAAGTGTTTATAATTATGTTCTTCTTTGATCTGACTATTAAATAGATATATAAAAGAACATCTTACTTAATGTGATCTTACGCCCGTGATGTCGATCTCGTTTGTTATTGTTTTCTAATTTAGACAACAATATAATACTTATTTTCTAATTTAGACAATATAATATTTCGAGCACTTTAACAAAACGCCTCAATTCAATTTAACCAAACGCCTCAAAAATGTTACATCTCTTATTATTCCTCCTGAAATCTCCCTGCTAATTGCAATTCAATAACATTGTTTTTGTAATCACTGTTTCATTTATTCATTTTAAATTTTGGTAATGCTATTTACTCTTCTTGTTGGTGGTTTCATGGTTTTGAACACCAAAACGCTTCAATTTAACCAAACGCCTCAAAAATGTTACATCTCTTATTTAATTACTCCTCCTCCTATCTCCCCACTAGTTGCAATCCAATAAAATTGGTTTTTAATAAGTTTAATTTATTCAGTTTCAATAGTTGTTATGATATTTACTTCAATCCTTGGTAGGTTAGTAGTTTTGAACACCAAAATAAATATTTCACGGCACTTTTTTACATTAATTTATATTAAGTCAAAACATGTGCGGTATTCGAACCCGTGCCCGGGCGCTCCAAAGGCTACGCCTTTGGAGCGCCCGGGCACGGGTTCGAATACCGCTACGTGTCTTAGACCGCTCGGCCGTCTGACTAAGAGGTTTAGCTAGAGTAATAAGTAGATTATCTGGAATTAGCAGCCAAGTTGGGGGAGGGGCTGTGTGGGAGGTGTAGGAGGGTACAAAATGAGGTTGTAGGGTTGAAAAAACGGAAAGAACTAAGGGAAATTTGGTTAAAATATTATTTGATTGTTATTGACGTGTTCTGGCATGTCGAATTTTATCACTAATGCCTTATATTTTATTGCAATATCACATAATTCATAATTTGTTGAGTTTGTAATTAAATTTGCCCTGTTATGAATGAGTTTTCTTTTTTAGTAATATATTGTAATTTACAAAAATGCTGAGAAAACGTTTAATAGTGGTGAAATATTTCACACAACCGCCACATTTTCTGCTTTATCATCAAAACAACTTTTCAAACCAATTCGTTGAATATGTTGAACGCCAACTCCTTTTTTTTTATTATTCCACGCGGCTGTAAAAAACATTAAGATAAAAATGGAGCAATTATTTTTGGGGAATTTCCTTTTTGTGGAGATAACATTCTCTTTTTCATTGAACAGATGGAAACGGAATACGTTTGAAACCCGGCGATGGTCTTTCTATATTTTTTTCTCGATCTCTTAATTTAATTAGAAACAAAATCCAATCCCATTATGTCAATCTCGTTTGTTCTTAAGTTTTCTAATTTTGAAATAAATATGAAGGCCTTAATAATTTGTGAAATTACATCTCTTCCTCATCATATATCCCTCCTGATAATTGCAATTCAATAATATTGGTTAATGATTTGTTTTATTAATTTTTCATTATATTTTACTCTTTCTCTTAGTGGGTTACCGGTTTTGGACACACCGCCGCCCCCAAATAAAATTTATTCTTTTTAATTTTTCTATTCCTTTTGTTCCGATAGTTTGGATCTTAAATCACCAATATGAACGCATTACCTCTATTGCAAAAGTCAAACTTTTGTCTTCATTGACTTCCATTTCATATTTATCTCTCTCTATATATATTTATTTATCGTGTATTATTTATTTGCATAATAATGGTATTTAAAGACACACATTTAGTAAATTCAACACAAACACAATGGTAACAAAATCATACCGTTATGCAAATCTTTATTTCTTCAAAAAACTTCGCATAGAATTACTCCCTTTATCTCACAAAATACTATTATGACAATGAGCAAACAATAAATAACAATGTTCGTCCGACAAAACGTCATACGATATTCCAAAACTCCGTCGCAGCTATATTAAAACAAATTTTAATACAAGATAAATTGTTACAGGCGATCGATACACATGTATACATCATAAATTTCACAAATTTAAGAAACATTTCCCGTTTTCAGCCGTCTTTTTTATAAAAACCTTTTTTTTTTTTAATGAAACAGAAGAGTGAAGTTGACTAATCTTTACTCGATTCTTATCCATTAATTGAAATGTAAAGAACTGGGAAAGGAAAAACAGCGCCCTCTATCACCAAATGAGGTCCAGCTGTCCCCCACCCTATGGCTTTATGAAATGTGAATAAATTTGAAAGAAAATATACAGCGCCCTCTAGCATCAAATGAGGTGCATTCCCCGCCCCCCCCCTTTGGCTTAAGGAAATGTGAATAAATTGGAAAGAAAAAATGCAGCGCCCTCTAGCACCAAATGAGGTGCAGCCCCCTCCCCCCCCCCCCAACCCAGGGTGCATGCTTGTAAACAGGCCAAAAATCTATATGCCGAGCTCATGAATAAAAGTTATACCCCCCAAAAATTCTATATTTAGAGAGTTTTGAGAGCCATAAATTTGAGGAATTGAAGAGATATGGTAATGAACCTCTTGCCAGGACTTAGGACTTCCAATTCTGAGCATTTTGGATGCTTTTGGGCTCGAAAGAGGCGCTATTTTGCCATGTTGTGGAGGGAGTGTTTTTCAAGATGGCTACTTTTCTGCTTTGAGGAAAATAGGGGTCGTCTTCTTTGGGTGAGAATATCTTGAAAAGTCAATGGTCGACCCACCCAAAAATGAACAGAAAATAAAGATGACATGTTGATCATCATTTTTTCTGTGCAGCTTAAATACCTGTGAGAGTTCCGAGTATTTTAAATGAATTTTGAAGTACCCATATGCGCATTTAGCACTAGTGTCTATGGAAATTTTTGGTTGCACCCTTATGAAATGTGAATAAATATGAAAGATAAAAACAGCACCCTCTGGCATAAACAGAGGTCCAGTCCCCCCCCCCCCCCCAGTAATTTTGTTTGGTGTTCCCAAGGTCAGGATTCCAACCCATGTACAACGGCACACGAGTCAAACACCGTAACCATTGGACCACAGCTTATAACAGACATGCTTTGTTATCCAATGTTTTAGCGGAAGAAGTTTGCCAAACTTGGTGAATCTTCACAAACTATCGTCACTGTATTAAAGAGCTGATATTTTTTAAGGTTTTCAAAATGACATTTTGAGCAACACAAAAACAGTTCACTAAACATTTGGCAGTGAGATGTTTTTACATGTGTATGTATATCATAGAGCTATATTGAATTACTAGAGCGCTTACTCCTCATTCTTACGCCAGGAGTTACTCTGAAGCCGTCCTGCACACAGACATTTTGAGTTCATGTGTGTATTTGTAGAACATGACGAAATAAAATTGAGTGAAATTTGAAAGTGTACTCACAATGCAACGTGCGAGTAGAACATTACGCAAACAACTTAAGAGCGTCATGACGGTTCAAAAGCATAACGGTAAAAATCACTTGCAGCAGCATTTGCGCTGTTTGCGCAGAGCAAAATGAAATGTGCTCATTTGCTGATCGTGTGTTTCAAGTTTGGGTGAATCAGCTTTGGTAATGCACCTGTTTAGAACACAAATGCAGATATGCAAATAGCCGTACAAAATTTTGAGTTTCCCATTGATTTGTGCACAAACATGGACGCGCCCAGCAGGCATCACTTTGTACATCGAGCCAGTGCTCTAGTAATTTAATATAGCTCTATGATGTATACACGCCTAAGGAGTAGGCTTAAGAAAAACAAGTTCAACCTACATAAAACTTCTCGAGTAACAAATTTATAATTGCAGTGATATCCAACAGCATGATCTCTTGAAGACAGTTGACTCTCGAAGATATCACTCTTACTTGCAAAGCGGCGTTGACGACAGCAAGTCTTGAAAGTTGGAGTGACAACGTCTTTTATCACCTCGATCCCTGAATGGAAAACAAGAAATAAATATTTACAGAATGGTACCTCAGGGAGAAATTACTTGTGCACAAAAATGTTCAAACTTTCACAACCCCTATTAACCACCATTTTACCTTTTTCCTACCCTGACAAATTTTTAGTATATTTATGTTTTGGAAGAGAAATCGATCTAGCCTATTTGCGGTAACGGTAACATTTTGCCTCCAAAAAGAAGTTCTCACATGAGGGAGACATGTCTCCCTCTCCTACACTGTCTCCCGTATGTCTTCTTAAGAGTACAGTCTGTTTCTTAAAGTTTTTATTAAGAGGACGGTTTATCTGACGTATTTGAAGTATATTTTCCATAAAAAAAAGCAAATTTTGATAATCGATAGCTGAAAACTGGTTCATACTCAGCCCGAAAGCTATCGCAACCCCAACATTTTTGACGTCAAGTATTCCCGGGAAGTATTCGCGCTGAGAATTCTCAAAAGTTGAGTACATGTACACTTCAATTCCGGCAAATTTTGCAGCACATTTCGCTTTGCATTTGCATTCGGATGAAGTATGAACTGGCCTTACAGCTCAGAAGCTGGTTCAACTCACCCCTGGGATTTGAACGATTGGGATTCCAGATGGACGTTTCAGTTCGAAAACTGTTCATCTTCATGGTTACCACATTTTCATTAGATTTTGAGGTTCTTTCCCTAGAGTATGTTGCTCATTTTGTGACTTTTTTTCCAAATATGCTCACGATGCATATGCGATGTATGCAGCAAAGATCCTATAGCGCCGCGTAGTGGTATGCAGTAGGACTCCCTTTTTAAACACCGATGCATGCCGCGATCACAGGCCGTGCGAAACCACTTTTCACTTGACACTTTGCCAACCGCAGTATAGGAAGTCGATGCCAATGCGTGATTTATTGAATGCCAACTTACACAAAGGATTTTGTAATGCTTTTTATGGAAAGGGGACCGAGAGTAACACGACGACTTGAGCGAAATGGCGACTTGTAAAAGCCGACTTAGAAATAAAAAAAATAAATGGAAATGCATTACAGACAATTGGGACTTTAGTCAGACAGCCGACCTGAGCGATTTGACAAGTTGTACGATGTCGATTTAGCCGGAGTTTACTGTATTGTGTTTGGCATGTTTATGTTGTACTTGTATTGAATAGCAAGTCAATTTTTAAGATCAAAAATTGGGGTGGGTGGTGGGTCAAAAAAAAAAAGTAATAAAAACTTAAAACTTAAAACTTAAAATCAAAGATAAATTTTGAATGAACCCAAAGAGCAAGTTAGAACGCAAACTGTAGTTATTGGTTCAACTAACTTTACTTCTAACGAAGGGTGGTTGGACTACAATACTTGACTACATGGAACTGGAGCCTGGGGCATGGTTCCATAGCTGGTTACCAATAGCCGCGCGCATCATAAAGCACAACAGGGAACCAGGACTTATGACTGCAGGCATTCGCGCGTTGGTAATAGTGCATAGGCGTAAGTTACAGCACAAATCAGTTAGTAACCCTAACCCCCCACGGGGTATTCTCTAGGCACCCTGCCAAATGCAACAGAATAAAGTGAACTAATACATGCCAGCCTTGGTACCAAGAGCCTACCCTGCCAAATGCAATGGAATGCAGGGGTGCAATGCATCGGATCAGGAGACTGCTAAATGCAACAATTTTGTACCACTGGTGCATTCTGTTTCGTTTAGCAAGGTTAGGGCTAGTCGACTAATGGTCCTCGCCCCAACTTGCTCTTACCTGGGCCCGATTTCATGGCTCTGCTTACGTGCTAAGCAAGTAACCCTGTAACCTTAGGAAGGTAATGAGTTTACCATGAACTTCAAATGTGTAGAAAGTCTATGGCCACAAATATTCTGTGCTTATGGTAAGCGCATTTCACAGGTTAGTAAAGGCTTATGCTCATGCGTACACCCTGGTAAGTAAGAGTTGTGATCGTAAGCGCAGCATTCTGTGGTTAGCAGTGCCATGAAATTGAGCCCTGGTCTTTTTGTGCTTGTTCCAGGGTCACTCCACAGTTTATGCTTGTTCAGTGGCCACTCCACTGCCAGTAGATGTCACCTTAACTGGCCTGCTTTGTGCTTGTTCCGTGGCCACTCTGTTTGTGGATGTCACCTTCCTTGGTTCTTTTGCGCTTGTTCATGGGCCATTCCACCCAGACAAGGTGGTGACTTGCTGACGCTGGCATTCTGACTCCACTGGGCAGGGGTCTTGGCCTGTAATGACAAATGTGAAAAGAATTGTATATCGTCTCATGGGAACTCCTAGGAACCATACCCATCCTGGCAAATTCCAACACCATATGGGAAATTACACACACATATTTCTTACTTTGATTCTGGAGGTGTGCCAAACCTATGTAAAAGACTGTCAGTTCAGGGGTACTGTACCTATCCTGACAGATTCCACCAAAACATGCCATTGGGGTTTGATGGGTTGAGTTCTGTTAGAGTTTAATTTTGTAAACGTTTAGCAAATATTTCAAATACTGTTTAAACATTTAGCCAACTCACAAAGGCTAACTGATGCCTGCCCATTATATCTGCAGACCGGATTTAGAACTTTTTCGTTTTAACTTTTAAAGGTCAAATCTTAAGAAGGCATTAATGCTGTGCATTTTCTAATAAATAGTATTTGATTATTTCAGCTTGGACTTGATTGAAAAAATGTTGAAAAAAATGCGCCGATCAAGTTTTACATGAGCCCGCTCAAACTGGCCGCTGATCAAGATATGTGTGCGCCTGCCTGCACTTGTTGACAATTAATAATGAGCCAATTAAAATCTTAAAACAAACATCATGTAAATGTTGATAAATGTTTTCATATTTTATACACCCATTATCTAGTAATGGTCAAGGAGATTACAGACTAGGAGTTGTGGATCATTTCTCTGAATCATTAATTAGATATCATGGTTAATTGGCTCTGTCATGGACATTAGGCTTCCTTTCCCAATGCTGCAATCGCCCTTACCTGAATTGATAGAGCATGGACAGGTCCTTCCAACTCCTCCTTCAAAGTGTCGTTGACAAGACGATGCCTCTTGATCAAACTCTCCTTGTCAAACCTCTCCGAGATGACCACCACCTTGAAGTGCGTCTCGGAGCCTCGGGGAACATTGTGCATGGAACTCTCATTGATGACGTCAAGATGCACAGGCTGCGCATGAATAGACAGTTTAAATTTAAAGGCTTTTGTGAAAATGCTTCAGTTTGCAAATCTAGCAGTTTGAAGGGTTGGGTATGGACTCTGATCACAAGTAACGCCTGATCATTATCAAAAAGAGAGCTACACAGACACTTTAAAGGAAATATACAACATTTGCAAACATCGAAAAATAAAACTACCAAGTTTTTACGAAATACCTTACTAGGATGTTGGTAAATGACAGTCTAAAGCATCCTGTAAAATTATGGCACCTGGTGTGAAGTCATTTTCAAGAAAATGGCATTTTGGTATCTGTTTCCAGCGGTGGTCGGCCGACCACCGTTGGAAAAACCCAACTATTGTGCAACTACTGCTCAAAATTTACCATTTTTTATTCAGTTCAAATTTTGTTTGCTATTGGTTATATATTCATGAATGGGCGCAGGCCAGCTAGACTTGTTCCCTTACCTTACAATTTTCCGGCATCTGGAAATTGATCCATTTTATCTTTAGTGGAGTCAGGGAACCAGACTACTTGAACGTTTTTTGTTTTTCTTGGTTTTTCCAGCATTTTCGAAGAAAAAACTTAAAACATGTCAGTGTAACAAAATTTGATCTATTATACTAACCCCTCAAACAGTTCATTTCTGAAAATTACAGCAAAAGCCAATGATGTACATTCCCTTTAAGTGCCATTGCTCCCATACTGTACACCTAATACGATATCATCCGTTTGTGGATACTCAAGATAAAAACAAATCAGTCGTGTGTACTTCCGACCATACATGCACGAACCAGTACAGTACGAGATGGGTCCCATACATAGGAGCTCATTCTATTGGTCACACTGCATTTTATGCAAATTTTTCCTAAACTTTTATTGGGATTTTGTTTCACCACATGAAATCCAATCTATGTTCATCAGTGTATTTAAAAAAAACCTCCTATGGAAACATGCATTCTGAGCCATGCTATTACTTGTGTCAATATTGGTCAAGTGACCCATTGGTTTGTTAAAAGTATGCCTGGGGAAGTGGAAGGAAATGTTGACCATCTGTGAGCTTTTAAACAGCAGGAGGGCTATTAGTAAAGGATTTTTACACTGCATATGACAGCTGGGGTCAACCTTGATATGTTTAAAATTAATTGTACCACTTCATTTTGCCGGTGAAATTTTGCACCTAATACTCTGGTATGAACTTGGAATTGACAGACAAAAGAAAATTCACAGAAAAATTTGAATATTGAAAAGTGATTCTAAAAAGTGCCCCCATGGGCCCCCTTTCCACGATGTCTTTTCCATTTTCAAACCTCAAATGTCTTTGTCAGCTTTTGTCTGATGCTGGTCTCGACTGGCCGATCTGTTGCCATGGTAACGTGACGGATGACCACGCCTTTGATTAGTCTCACTTGTCTCCACAACGATGCTTGACTGATGGTCTTTGTAACTGATTGCATTTAAAAGAAATGAGACTCATCATAATAAAGGCAAGTATTTTGCTCCAAATACTCCACGAACATGAGTGAGTTACTGTTTATATGTTATTCATTATGCTGACTTAAGGTGAAATTGAAGACGACAATGCCTTCTCCTCGTGATTTTTTTATTACAAAATTTGAATTTTTTTTCTCAGAGTACAAAATTTGTGAATTGTTTAAGGTATTAGTCAGGTTATATGCCACACACGTTTTGCAATGACTGGAACACTTACAAACGTCGCCCACTGACGGTGTAGCATATATCGGTCGTGTTGTGAGCATGTGTCATGGCAAGACCAACTGATTGGGGTACAGTTATGAATTGTTAGTGAGCACTGTCATCACACACACGTGCGTGTGTGCACTCATTCACTTGCATTTTACGACTGCAGTATTTCTGCACATTGGTCGTGCCGCTGTGTATACAGAAGTGGGGTTTGTCGAGCTATACCCCAAATCGTAAGAGTCCTTCAACTTCACCCACAAAATCCTGCATTGCATGAAGACATTCCTAAAAAGAACAACAATTAAAAAAAGATGAACTATACTCACCAAATTACGGCAATTTGGCAACCACCCCCCCCCTTAAAAAAACACCTTACGAAATACGAGTAGGCCTATGCGATGAGAAATATGTCAATATAAACACAGTATAGAAGTAACCAATTTGATGCAGGAAAAAGGAATCGGCAGTATTGATTATAGGGAATTGGAAAATGGTGTCGTATTACCATACATCATGTGACTGTTTTTAACCAATGAGAAGCTTGGAAACAGGGGGAATCCCTTATCGATGCATTAATTTCTTCCACACAGTGTGACGTCATGTAATGACATGAATAAGGTGGCACAGTCATGACAGTTTGCCAGTCGGCTTACTTGCATGCAAACATTATTTATGTCCGTGAATTCTGATATAAGTGATAGTCCAATATTGGTACAACTATAGAATGCAGGGCCACTTTACTCTACATCCGCGCCTCCGTACGGCTGCGTGGAGGCGTGGAACCGCAGTCGACCTACCTCTGAAAATCGATCGTGGAGTCGTGGAGCCGCAGAAAATTGCGCCCTCTATCGGTAAGCGACTCTGCGACTCCGCGCCTCCGCGACTCCAGACAGTGCCCCGTCGCCCTCCCCCCCCCTTCCTAATTGGCCCGCCCAATTAAAGTGACTCTGCGACTCCCCGACTCCGCGCCTCCGCGACTCCAGACAGTGCCCCGTCGCCCTCCCCCCCCTTCCTAATTGGCCCGCCCAATTAAAGTGACTCTGCGACTCCCCGACTCCGCGCCTCCGCGACTCCAGACAGTGCCCCGTCGCCCTCCCCCCCCCTTCCTAATTGGCCCGCCCATTTAAAGTGACTCTGCGACTCCCCGACTCCGCGCCTCCGCGACTCCAGACAGTGCCCCGTCGCCCTCCCCCCCCTTCCTAATTGGCCCGCCCAATTAAAGTGACTCTGCGACTCCCCGACTCCGCGCCTCCGCGACTCCAGACAGTGCCCCGTCGCCCTCCCCCCCTTCCTAATTGGCCCGCCCATTTAAAGTGACTCTGCGACTCCCCGACTCCGCGCCTCCGCGACTCCAGACAGTGCCCTGTCGCCCTCCCCCCCCCCCTTCCTAATTGGCCCGCCCATTTAAATTGGATATGGATGCTTCGTTCTCAAAAAGATTCCGCCGAGAATTGCGCCCTCTATCGGTACGCGTCTCTGCGACTCCGCGACTCCGCGCCTCCGCCACTCCAGTGCCCCGCGTCTCCGCGATTCTGCGACTCCAAGACTCCGCGCCTCCGCCGCTCCAGACAGTGCCCCCAACACATTTACAAGCACGCCCTCCCTTCCGATCCTTCATGAGAAGCTTTGAAGACAAGTGCAGTGCATTCCTTCGCTGTACTTAGCACTTTTTTGCAGGTTTGCATATCTATTACTCCTATTCCATCCACGCCTCCAGGCAAAATAAAAAACCTTGCTTCGGCGTGGCCCTGCATTCTATAGTTGCTCCCCAATATTTTGTTGAGCAGTTAAAAACAAGAAAAGTTGGGACAATGGGAGGCGAGGGAGGGAGGGAGACACCTTTTTAAACAAAGCAAAGAAGACGTCATTGCAGTGCGCCCTCAAGAGGTCATACGCCAACAATTTACAAATTCGCAGTGGCTATTGTTACGGCAGCCGTAACGCATTTCCCATTTTCTATCGTTACGGTAGACTGCAACCTGGCAACTTTTATAAAAAAAACATGACAAGAAAATATAAAATTAGAAGGAAAAAAGTGAATTTGAACTTTATGAAATTCGGACTTTATTTCCCTTTTAAAAAAAATCCTCCAAAGCCTCAGGTTAGAAAAGGAAAAAAATTCGAGTGCAAAACTGAGATTCGAACCCGCAACCTCACGGTGCAAAATCCTACCCCCTATCGGCTGAGCTGGCGCACTGCTCGATAAAACATGTGGAAACAAATAATTATATACCTGCGTGCGTATCAAAAAAATATCGTAGAGGGCGCTAAACAACGAGTGCCGTAACGATAGCCACTTCGTTACAAATTTGTCACGAAAGTTTGGTTTCTTTGTTGACTTTTATTTACACAAATAGCGAGCTAGCAGTATAGCTGAATCAACATATATGAAATATGAAGAATTCCTTTCCTACCTTGCAACATAGGTTGATATTTTTCAAGGCCAAAAGGCCCTCCAAAACTGGGGAATTACAGACAAGTTCCAGCACGCATCCACAGCTACCTCGTGCGTGCTAAACTGCTAATACTATTTCTCCACACCCCGTCTCCCGTATTACAATATACACAACTTACGTGAGGCGTCTGAGGCACCAGTCTTTTTCTAAAACGTGACGTTGAGCTTGTGGGCGGGGTCGAGCGAGTCAACATTGTATGGAGTTCCGAAGTGACATTTTTAAAACAGTTAAATTTATTTCATAAAAGAAAAAATTTAAAAATTTCCCAATTAAAGTTAAAAATTGTCGTGAAAACATAAATTAATGAGATCTTACAGTTTACCCAGTCAGGTAAATATCGTGTTTTGCCAAATTAAATAAATAAAAAAGGCCAAGTATAAAACCTCCATTACCATTTGAACACAGGAAATAAAGAACAAAGAAAGAAATCTAATCCAAAATCCTTCTTGTTTAAAAAAATCAACAGCGACTAAGAAGGAGCAATAGCACAACATTTACAACCACATCATGCAAGTGTCTGTAGCTTATTATTATGCACATGAATATTCCAATCGATTATAATGACTACATTCATCACAGATAAACAGATTAAAGGGAATATACATCATTTGCTTTTGCTGTAATTTTCAGAAATGGATGGAATTGGGGGGTTGGAAATATATAGCAAATATAGTTACACTGACTTTTTTGAGGTTTTGGGTTCGAAAATGCTATAAAAACCAAGAAAAACAATCATTTTCCTGTAGTCTGGTTCCCTGACTCCATTTAAGAAGAAACAGAGCAGTTTACATATATTGGGGAATTGTAAGGTCAGGGAACCAGTCTAGCTGGCTTGTACCCGTTCATAGGTGTGTAATCGATTGCAAACAAGTGCGATGGTCAACTGGGGCCAGTATTTGAAAAAAAAGCCAGTTTTTTCCAACGCTGATCGGCCGATCAGTGTTGGAAATTGATACAAAAATACCACTTTTCTTGAAAATGACAGTATACCAGGTGCCATGATTTTACAGGATGCTTTACACTGTCATTCACTAACAGTCCAGCAAGGTATTTCAAAATGATTTGGTAGTTTTATTTTTTGATGTTTGCAAATGTTGTATTTTCCCTTTAATTAGCGAAAGTAACAAAGATTCATACAAAAAACACCACATTTTGTTCTCGGAACACATTTCGAAATTGCAACTTAATCAAACCATGGAGATATACCCGTGATCATAATGATACCTGGACAGTTCGGACAATGACGCGGTAGAATTTTTTTTCTCCGGACACTTGGCCTCCGGGGGGGGGGGGGGAGGGACTGGTAACCATCTTCCAAATGGGGGCGCTCTTCAAAACTGACCATTATTATGCATACTGCAAATGACATGGCCATTTTCACGGCGCATTGTAATGCGGGTTTTTGAACGGGTTTTCTTTTTTGGGGGCTTGATGTCAGAACTCTCTAGCTCTTACCATTTATTGAAATAATTGCTGAAAAAAATATTTGTCAAAAGAAATCCGCCGGGGGTGGGGGCAAGGTGCCCCCTGTCCCCCCTCTCTCTAAACGCCACTGTAAGTGTGATGATGGGAAACACTGCTTATTTTGTGAGCTTTCATGTACCTTTACTGTCCTGCGTGTGTGAGGGTGTGGGGTTGAGGATGGGGTTAGGCCGTGGGAAGACTGGGATATAAATTGAGTATAGTCGGACTCTTTTTATCAAGTTCACCAGCCTATTAAAGACTTTCTGCCGAGTTGTATAAAAGGGACGATTAAAAATGTTTTTCTCGGGACTGTGAGTGATTTTTAAATAAATATTCACGTTTTCCGCAACTTGCAATTTTATTTGAAAAGGTACTGTCTTTATTTTAACCGTACATTTTTAATAGTGCTCTGTCCATTGTCCATGAAAGTTCCATTGTCTGGTTTCCATTCTAAAGCTGCAAACAAAAAATGACGTCGAAGGACGATATTTCCAGCGCGAAATCGTAAAAACTTTTATTAGGGGATCAAAATAAGGACAGCGCGTTAAAATAAAATAAAAAATAAAACGGCACACCGTGTAAAGTGAATGGCGCCCCAATCGCCAATCAGTAGACTTATCTCCGTATTTTTTGTTCTCCTTTCGGGAAAGGGGTAGGGTCTTAAGAAATCATCCTGCAGGCATATAGTCTTTAATCAACTTGAATGCTACAGGAAAAATATCAGACTTTATTCAGGGGATGGTTTGGTCAAACATTATATATGAATAAAAAAGTTCAGATCATTATTAAAACCACTTAATTCCCGTCTACCGCGACAGGGAGTCCACCTCCGTTCCAATACTCCTAGCATGCCTATTTTCACAGGAATATACACGAAATAAATGGGGGCCTTTGTCGGATTTGTTTTATATCAATTTGAAAAGGAATGGTTATACAACACGAAAGACAAGCCAATTCGGGATAAACGTGATAAGTACCGCGAAAATAATGAGGGCGTCCCATGTACATGTAGTTGAAATAGAAATCACGAAAAAAGAATGGTTTGAATGATAAGGCGTGCCATACAAGTTAAAGGGCAACATGTACAAACAAGCCAACAAGCTTGTGTACTAGTTTACTACAGCTTTATAAAGCTGAATCACTTGTGTTTTTTTTATCACTATTTCCTGCAGCAAGCACAACTTAGATTGCCAATTTCACAGCTCAGCATCCATCTTTATCATCATGTCAGGTCGTGGGGGAAAGAAAAGGGGTAAATCTGTGTCCAAATCGGCCCGGGCAGGGGTGCTTTTCCCGGTGAGTCGTATGGGCCGGTACCTCCGTCTAGGCACTCATCACCAACGGATCGGCGCCGGAGCCCCTGTGTACTTGGCGGCAGTGATCGAGTACCTCACCGGTACGGTAATCTACATGTAGCCTATGCCCTTACTCACTACTTGTTTTGGGAATTGGAGAGAAAGCAGTACCACCATTTACTTTCACCACAGATATGATAGATCAAATATAGGAACATAATTTGCAATGATAAAAAAATAATGAATTAGATTTCACGTCTTTTTTTGTGACCCAGGTTCTAATTCTATACTATAGTCAATTTTAATAAAGAGAGGCATAAAAAATCAGATAATTATAAAAAATATACCTATCTATTATTTTACTACCAATCTAGTACCTTACTAAAATAATATTTTTAAGCATTTGTCGGAATATTCTGCAAATGAGTGGATGTACTTTGTCTGAAGAAACAATGTCTTTATGTAGTCAGTTTATTGAAGAAAAACAATTAAATTTCTTTAAAAATGTAATAAAATCATAGCTTGTTTACATTTCAGCTGAAATATTGGAGCTTGCAGGCAATGCTGCCCATGACAACAAGCGAGGGCGCATCACTCCTCGTCACATTCTGCTCGCCATTGCCAACGACGAGGAGCTCCACCAGCTCCTGCGTCATGTGACCATAGCAAACGGAGGAGTGCTGCCGAAGATTCATCCCGAGTTGCTTGCCAAGAAAAAAGGACCAAAGTAAGAAAATGATTGTGAACTTCATATTTTAATATTTTTTCTGTGGTTTGATTAATCATTCAAACCAATTAAAAAGCCAAATGATACAATTACATTTACAAATCCAATTAGGTACAAAAATATAAAACTGTACAGTAAAAATTACAATAACCACATTTATAAATATATCAGCATCTTTTTTTAGGAAATGACGTATTTGTAGAATCCATTTTTAAAAATTATCTTTTCAAATATAGTCATCTGGGGAAAAATGCAGCCATTTATGGTAACGTTTTGCATGAAGACTTTTGTTCACAATGACTTTGGTTGAACGGAATCATAACAAATTATTTATATTCTCTGTGTTAGTCTGACTCAAATTAAATAATATGTATTTGAGTTGTCAAAACTTTGAAGTACACAGATCTACGAGATGCCATGGACATTGGCATCTTGCCAAACCGATTATAGCATACAAGCCAAAATATTTTGTAACTCTTTAAGTATGCAATTTATTGCCTTATTAGAGGGAATTGAATCAAGGCAGTATTATGTTTCAACCAATAAATCAGCTTGTCATTTATATTGTCAGTCCTCTTTAGTCTCATCAATGAAGCCTGCTAAGAAAGCAATAAAGTAAAATTTGAGGTCTGTCTTCTCTTTTAACTGCAGATATAAGATGCTACTTGACTCCCACCCGTCTCCTCCACCTGTCAAGAAACCGACCTACAAGACAGCGGCGCAGAAGAAAGAGGCTCCGTCCACCTCTAAGAAGAACACCCCCAAGGCTAAGACGCCAGCCAAGAAAGGCAAGACACCGGCCAAGGGCAAAGGAAAAGTAAGATTCCTCACTTTCACTGCCACATGTGATCGGATCCAGGAAAAGTCTTCAGGTCATTTTGTTCACATATTGGAACTAATTTGGTTTTTCCCCCTTTTTAACAGGGTTCAGGAAAGACAGTGCTGTCGGAGAAAAGACTCTTTCTTGGACAGAAGGTCAGTGCATCACCAATGTTTTGCTGTCACATAACCTTGCCCAGAGTGCAGTACTATTTGCACACAGATCCGCAGTACCCGCTGCTACATTTGGGAAAAAATTACCGCATGTCGGGTGCTGTGGTCCAATGGTTACGGCGTTCGACTCGTGTGCCGTGGTACATGGGTTCCAACCCTGACGGGGAACATGGTGCTCGCACTCGTGGGCAAGGCATTTTACTACGATTGCCTTTCTCCAACCAGGAGTATAAATGGGTACCTGTGAAGGTAGAGACCGAATTGCGCTGATCTCGAACTGCTGCAGGAAAAAATGGTCTCATTGCTGATGAACAGGGATGATAATTGTGATGCACATTTGATCATATATTCTTTGGAATTTGCGCAATATAAATTTAAAATTATTTTCATTATTATCATTACTACATTTGATTCAGCCACCCCTGACAAGCTCAATGGTCAAGTGGTAAACGTTTGCACTACTGGACAGGAGGTTATGGGCTTGAGTCCCACCCTTGTAGGCTTGTAATTATTCTCTCTCAACTCCTTGGACAGCAATGAGTATACAGTGCTTATGAGATTACAAGGTGAAGGGCAAAAACCTTATAATTATTGAATATTGCAAAAAAAATGTCTGTAAGGCCAAAAAAAAAAAATTCGGTCTCTGGTCAGACCAAAGTTCCAGAATTGACGCGGCCACGCGGCTTTTTTTTTTTTTTTTTCTTCAAGCTTGGATTGTACAGACAAGGTGGGGTACTATTTTGCTTTGTTGGTGTCCTCATGTACATTGGTGTCCTCCATAATTTGCCTTGGTGCTTTCGATCATTTGCCTTGGTGCAATTTCCCATTCCTTGGTGCTCTTTGGTAAAAAAAATTGAGGAGGTGGGGAAATAGAGGGCGCTGTTGGAGCTACCGCGGAACATTTTGGAAAAAAAAAAGATCGATGCGCATGCTTAAAATCGACGCGCGCGCTGACCAGAGACCGACTTATTTTTTTGGGGGGCCTAAGTGCTTGTTTATATTTTACTTTGAACTGACAGTTGACCGTGGTCCAGTCTAACATAGCTGAAATCTTGGCCGACGTTGTGGTCCATCCAACCAACTCAAGTTTCTACATGGGAGGGGAAGTAGGTACGTCATCACGATATTCTTCTCCCATCTGTTCACTCCAAAATTACAACCCCAAAAGGAGATTACTTGTATTTTAATTGCAAGGCAAATTCATTTGTGAAGAACTATTAAATTTGGCTCCTTTTCCGCTTTTTGCATTTCTGTGACTAGTAAAGTAAATTTTGCCGTATATTTGTCCTATTTTCTCAAGGTAATGCCCTGGACAGCGCTGGTGGTAAGGAATTCAGGGACGAGATGAATAAACTCAAGGCAGCTCAGGGCAACCTTGAAGTTGCTGGAGGTATGTCTTAAATCAGACATCTTCTAGGAGTGTGATAGTAATCACTATATTTGTACAGTATGAGCTAATGTATTGGCTACAAATGATACCTGCTGGAGACAGGAAGCCATATGAATAGGACGCCCACTGGTCCAGTGGTTACGGTGTTTGACTCACGCACGATGGTGTGTGGGTTCGAATCCTACCAGGAATATGGTGTTTGTGCCCTTGGTAAGACACTTAACTACAATTGCCTCTCTCCACTCAGGAGTGTAAATGGGTACCTGTTAGGTTCGAAGACCGATTGAGTGCTGTACATGTACAATTTAGTTGTACATGTAGCTTCTACAATTTTTTTTCATAATAGATATCAAAGTGGCAGTCAGTGAAAGAAGCACCGAGATTCGTTTATGTTATCAATTGCATGTGAAATAACAAACCAGTGTTTGTCTTTTTTGTGTAGCTGCCATTTGCCCAGGCCATAACTTTCCAGCCAAGTTCGTGATCAGCTGTCACAGCCCGTCGTGGGGCGGGGCTAACGCCATTCCTAACCTTGAGAAGTGCGTCAAGAACTGTTTAGCCCTTGCTGATGAAAAGAACCTTACATCTATTGCTCTGCCGTCCATTGGCAGCGGGGGGTGAGTGGAAAATCTTCATTCAAGTCTCAACTATTTGAGAGCAAGTCTCATTTCATGCCTCAAGTCTTGTTTCAGGTCTCAAGTCCTTTGTATCAAACTTTAAGCAAGTCTCAAGTATTGAGAGCAATTCTCATTTTGAGTCTCAAGTCTTTGAAAGTCTTCAATCAAGTCTCAATTATTTGAGAGCTAGTCTCAGTTCATGCCTTAAGTCTTTGCGAGAAAGTCTCAATTAAAATCGCAAGTCTTGAGAACAAGTCTCAATTCAAGTCCCAACTCTGTGAGAGCAAGACTCGATTCGGATTTCAAGTCTTTAGAACAAGTCTCATTTCAAGTCGCAAGTCTTTGACAGAAAGTCTTCCTTCAACTCTGAACTCTTTGAGAGCAAGTTTTAATCCATGTCTCACCCCTTTTAGAGCATGCCCATTCAAGTCTCAAGTCTTGAATACGAGTCCGTCTCAATTTAACAAGTTTGGTATCATTGGAAATCTCACCTCATGTGAAATGCATCCATATATCCTCCGTAACTTCCTACAAATTTCAATCCTTAATGATGAAAATTTGCTCTCTGCTTCAGGAATGGGTTTCCCAAACAGACTGCAGCGGAGACCATCCTGCAGACCATCAGCAAGTACTTTGTGACCGTAATGTCCTCGTCTCTCAAGCAGGTGTATTTTGTTCTCTATGACCAAGACAGCATCGACGTCTACACCAGGGAGCTGTCTAGGTTGGAGGTAGACCAAAATTGAAAAGGGGAGAATTAATTGTAGGGGTCCTAACCTCATAACTGTCACAAGAGTTTAGTTTTTACTTCTGATTTCCTGAGTATAAACCCTCTGATTCAATTGACTTAGGCAGGATCTAAATTACTTGGCTACGGTTTGCCACTTACATGGAAAAGAATGAAAGCCCCTCCCTGTACACACATGTGTGTTACTGCCAAAAGAAGCAATGTAATTTAAATGTGACCTACAACAAAGTGTGATTACGTACCAGTGGTCAACTATCGTTGCTGGGTTCCCACAGGCATGGAAAAATCCTGGAAAAATTCTGGAATTTAAAGCTATCATGGAAAGTCGTGGAAAGTCATGGGATTTTATTTTTAGATTTCTGTTGGAACCCTTTAGTTGATTTGTAACGTAACTCAAGCCGTGGAACAAAAGCAATGTGCGAACAATCCCTGGTTTGATGAAATTCTTTCGTCTAATTTGTTGGTGAACTTACATCATAGGCCACATTTACAGATATTATTTCTGAATATGTATTTACTGACCCCTAAAACATACATGATTGTGAAAATTTACCAACGTGACATGAAGTTGCAATGACAATGACAAGAGGATTTGGTTAGACTTTGGAAGCCAGACGTGGGTGAAAAAAATGCTTGCGATAGTCTGTGGTTGTACCGTTGTAGGACCGTGGTGATTATACTTCTGTATTAGTTTATATAGTTTCTTAGTTTGGTTGCCTGTCGTAGTCTTTTAGCACACTTTGTAGGACTTCATGATAGAATTAGTGAATTGAATCGAATTGGGAATCTTATTGGATAATTTTGGGTTGTGCATCCGGTGATTGTAACCCAATGAGTTTGAAATTGCTCTGACTATTTCAGAGAAATAAGGAATGGCAGAGAAGTCAAGGGGAATTGTACTTTTCTCAATAATTTCCATTTTTATCACATTGTACATAATTATAAAAGATCAATGTGGAATTTTTGCACAAACTGGTTTAAGCCACTGCGTAAATAGATTCTACTTTTCTAGAAAATCAACTTGGCAGTTTGTCACACACTCTGATCTGTTCTGTGATTAGGCTCAAGTGTGCCAACAAGAATTCTCACATCAATTGCAAAACGTTCTCTTCATATTATGTAGTTGATCGGAGTTGTTACGCCCAAACTAAATCAAGTGTCTCAACTATAGTTTTGACTGTCCCAGCTACTGTTTGTACAGTCCCAACAATAGTACGGAAATTCCAAACTGTAGTTGGGACGATCCTAACTGTAATTGGGATGATGCCATAGTTTAGGCGTAACATAAACATTTAAACTTGTACCTTTGCCAACTCATTCCTATGGTTACCAATTTATATTTGTACTAACTAGTACCTTGGCAACTCTTCTTTAACCAGTTTTCTAGCTGGTATAAGATAGGCCTGATAACAAAAACATAAATCTCAAGTAAAACATTGGGACTTAATTTCTCCTTTTTATCAACACTTTTTGTGTAAGTACCTTGTGGATGTGGTGGTTTGAAATCAACCTAGGTAGGGAATTGTGTATGGTGATATTTGAGTCTGTTCTCGTGGTGGATTCCGAAGATGTGTATTTTCAATAAGATGTTACTTGGAATTTTTTTGTTTTTGCTTCAAGATTAGATTAGTCAGTAGATTTGAGATAGAAATTAAATTCTCCTGTTCGATGAAATAAAATGGGAAGAAAATCACAGATCATGTAAAATAATTCCCTTTTATTATTAAAACAATTCCTTAATTCATGGATGGCATCATATTTTGTTGTCATGTGACAAAATCTATTTTACCAAAAATAAAATGAAATCATAACATGGAAATTATTTTTCATATTTTAATAAATTTTATCCTAATACGATTTATAATCTTGCGCTGTATTGTGGAGGTTAGGTAACTTTGGAAAACCTGATGAATTAATGTAGTTTGTTATACAAAAAAAAGGAAAACCAAATACAATGTAGTTTGACCTCTACTATATTGGAAAAGGTCATTCAAAGTGGATGCAAGACAAACTTCTGGTCCCAATACAAATCATGTTTCCCTTTGAGGTATTACAAAGATTGTTTAAAAATAAGTAAACCATTTTTAAATAAAGGACAACTACAGTTTTGTGGATCAGGAAATATTTCAATAACACAGCATATTGTGTTTTAGACATTCTTGTAAATAAGATACATTTACAAGAGTAAACAAGAGAGAAATTCGATTTATTGAAATTTTATTATGCTTGCAAAGATAGTTTTTAAACGCAGTGATATAGGCAGCAGTATCAAATGCTTGGAGACAAAAGCTATAATTTTTGTTTGTTAGATTTTATAAATTTTGCTGAAATATTACCATGTTTTGTTAGTCACAAACTGTTTATTGTTTAGAGCTCACTACTAGCCACTGGCTCTTTAGTAGGCAATTACGCTACTATTACAAAAAAAAAATTATGTTCTGAATGAGAATTTCGTATGGACTTTTCTTCTTGTCATCTCAATTTTGTGATAGTTTGTCTCGGGAAATTGTGTATTTTCAAAATGGCAAGAACATTTATGAGGTGAATATCCTTTGACGGAAATATCACATAAATCTGATCCCCCCCCCCAAAAAATTGACAAAATGGAAAATAGAACATCAAAATTTGATAGGCTTTAGGAAGTCGTTCCTAGGCCCCGTAGGCCTACTAAGAACTAGAACCATGGAGCTCCCATGCTAGAACGAAAACCAGTATGTTTAACTCACCTTAACCATGTACATGCAAGGGCGAATCCGGGGGGGGGGGGGGGGCCAAAGGGGGCCATGGCCCCCCCCAAAAACGAAACCAATTTTTTTTTTTTTATGTGACATCGCAATAAAGGCAAGCAATGAGTACACCACCATCTTTTCCTCAAAAAACATTGGCTGAAGTGGTCAGAAATTGCCTCAGATCGCACCACAGAGCATCTTGAATCCAAAAATTTTTTGGGGCCCTAGCGGGCCCCGAACCCCACGCCGTAATTTTTTTGACCCACTTTTTGGGGGGACCAAATTTTTTGTTGGCCCCCCCCAAAAAAATTGTGTTCTGGATCCGCCCTTGTGTACATGTACTGTTGTTTTCGGACTCGTCTTGACACCTGACAGTGATACCATATTGAATATCAACAAGATTTTTTTTAAATGGAAAGAGGGCAGAGTTAATTAATAATAAGAGAGAAATTCGAAGTAAAACACAACGATGACCACAAGGTACACGACTCAAAAACGAAGATGTCGACAGTGCTGAACAAGTTTGAAAGCACGCCGCTGATTGGCTAGTGAACAAAACCCCAGATTTTTGGTGAGAGGTGTAGGGTGGTGCCGCGCATTTCTCACGTCTTAATTCTTGAGAAAAGTTTTGCGTCCATGTGCCTATGTTATGGTGGCCGCGAAGGGACATTTGAGACGCAAATTTCTTATACGATTATTGTGCAATACGTGGATTAACAAGCAACAAAGAAAACTGAAGATCATATTTACAGGGACATGAAAATAGTACGAGTCATAAACAGTAGACCAATAAAATAATGCTCAGAATTTAAAATGTCGGCAACGAAGAAAAACATTTACTACCATTTCAAGTTCGTTGTCAACTTCTTTCATGGCATCGCTATTTTTTTTTCAAAGATAAGCCGGACTGTGAACAACCCTTGAGAGTAATAGTGATTTTGCAGTTTCACCACCATGTTCAAAATCTACTTGAAAAGGTCTGCCTACCTCACAAAAATGCCAAATGTAAGAAGCCATTCAGTTCACTGAGTTCAAACTCCACCGACCGAAAAAAAGGTCCCCGACCCGCACACACGGACTTGGTCCTGCATCATGATTTGGCCATTCAGTCATTTGTTATGTATACATGCCTCAGCCATTTTTGCAATGTCATAGACTTTTAGGTGCAGTCTATCTACTTCTATTCCACGTCAAACAAAAGGTCATGGAACCTTGTTGGACAGTTCCTGAGAAAGGTTCTTCACCATCACGTCACAGGCATCATCACCTTTAATGTTTTCAACTCTGTCTATTCATTATGCGAAGTTTGGATTGTTTCTGCTTTTCAGTCAGCCGACAATGCTGAGAATCTACAGTCATTTGTAAAAAATAATCATTGCGACCATTAACGTGTATACGGCTTCTGTAAAGCGATAATGACATCCTTGCATCCACATGGGTCTACTAAAGGCCAAGTCACATGAGATAATTTTCAGAGGCAACTTTAACTTGGCGCCGACCGAATGCTGCAAGCACTAGGCAGTGGCGCACAAGGGCGGATCCAGAACACAATTTTTTGGGGGGCCAAAATTTTTTTGGTCCCCCCAAAAAGCGGGTCAAAAAAATTACGGCGTGGGGTTCGGGGCCCGCTTCCGACCCTGCAAAGAGGCCACAGGTTATGTAAACCTTAGGTCTACCCCGACACCAGTTTCGCACTTTGTTCGAGACATTATCTTCGTTTGCGTGCTTGAGTGTAATGAATGATTAACATTGAACTTATTCGGATAGCATACTGCCATCGTTATAATTGAGTCTGGACGCTTTCGATTCGTCGATGTGAGTCTAAAGGTTGATAGGTCAGACACGCGGAATGACCAAGCGCATTTTTTTTGTCTGGGGAGTCTATATAAAGGCAGATTTTTCCTGTTGCACACATACAGCTGATGCATTCAATTCTGAATACGCACCGACACATTTGGTGATATTTTCAAGGTAGGTATATTTTATCTGTACCGTACCACCACAGCACTAAATTTCAACGAATATGCTTCTTCGAAAGTACAGATTTCAACACAAGCGTTAAAACGCTCAGGAAATGCTCTTGCCCCGCCCGTTCATTGAACGTTTTACCAGCACTTTATAAAGGCTGTTGCTTGCCCCAATAGGAAGAAGACGGTCTAATGGCTATGGGAAGAAACCAATTCGTAAATGTGTTTAATTTTCAGGAGGTATATTCCACCACCATTAGTAATAGTATAGAAATTATGCTTCAATAATTGTTGAGCGTTTTGTGTAAATTGGTGAATGAAAATCTATTTTCTCTTGGTTTCAACCGAACGTTTACTTTATTTTCTCATCTATGTATAGGTTACTTTGACTTCAAGAGAACGGAGCCACTGACCTCAGAATAAAACACCTAGCTGATTAGGCAGATAGGAATATTCCTGAGTGGCGTAATAGCGTTACAACCTAACCAAACCATGAACAAGCTGGATATCTTCGGTTGGAGCGTGGACCCTGCAATTGCTGCGTCGGTGGTTGTCGGTGAGTTAATAGTTTGTTTTAATGGTACATTAGAATGTCGGACCCAATGACCAGCCTACTGTCCTTTGACTAACTGACTGAGTCACTGACAGTGACTGACAACTGACCGACTAAAACGTCCTAAAATGAGGCTTTCATGCAGATCTGGCCTGCAGCTCGACAAGGCAGATCTATGCTTGTCATGTTCTTTCTCCTATAGACCTTTATCATGGCTGCCACCATTTCAGTCATGTTACCTGTAAGAATAATTATCCAATAACAGTACTGAATGATAATTTATTTTGTGCAAAAAAAGGAACCAGACTATTTTCCCCTTCCAGCCTCGCTTTGGTCACGTTGATTTGAATGGGAAAAATCAAGATGCCCCTACATGATAATGGTCTATTGGGTTGGTTGATGGATGGGCATATACGTAAGCCAATTGATTGTCATTATAGTTTCTCTATAATAATTCTTTCTTGGCGGTGAAATTAACTGGACAAAACTTGTCTTGACCATTGACTTGCTACCTTTCTTTCTGTGGATCTTCGTTTGAATGTCTTTACAGGTGTCGTTGTGGTCTTGTGGCTTGTGCGGAGATGGGTGGCAGGTGGATGGTGCTACAGCAATGCTCGCCTGGACGGCAAGACGGTTGTCATCACAGGAGCCAACACTGGCATTGGCAAGGAGACAGCAAAGGACATGGCCAGACGAGGTAGATATATTCTTCTGTTTAAGGACATCAATCAAACAATCAAGTAATAAGCAAGAAAGCCAACCAACTAGCAAGCACAAAACAGTAGCAACAACGCTGATTGGCATGCCGCGTAGGGAGAAGACAAAACACAGCAGTAGCAACAAGAGCAGCAACAGGACAAGAAAATTGCGATTCGCCAATAAGTAGCTAACGGCAACAGTAGCAGTTGCGACTGCAAAGTATCACCATCGTATCCCCATCAGCAACATTATGCACAATGCAAAGAAACACAAGCAGCAGCAATAGCAAAAATAACAGTAAGGTAGCCCCAGCAGCATGATATTATGTCGCAACCTGCAGTAGTCAAAACTGCTGTCTGCTTTTCTGCTACCGCAGATGAATTAAGGTCTTGCTGAAATACAAAATTCGCGATTCCTAGTCTTGTTTTGACTTTTCCAGGTGCTCGTGTGATCATAGCCTGCCGTGATCTGCCCAAAGCCGAAGCAGCCGCCTCTGAGATTCGTACTGCCACGGGTAACAACAAGGTGACGGTACGGAAACTAGACCTGGCTTCTCTTGCCTCGGTGAGAGAGTGCGCCAAGAAGATCAAGGCAGAGGTGAAAAAGCTGGATATACTCATCAACAATGCAGGTAAAGAATACTTCAATGGCCTTTTGACATGCAACAAAGTAAGTCAAAGGCAATGAAATAGAAATGATTACCCTCCATAACTGTTAGTGAGCTATACATTTTTTTTCAACACGTATACGTTAACTTCTGTGTTTCATTAGAATAAATTCTAATGACAGTTTTTGATGTAACCTTCACGTAAATTTACATTATGTTTTTCTATATTCCCTCTGAGTCTGTTGATCAAAAACCATGACTTTATTCACTTTCTTTGTCATGAATCCGTGTACAGGAATCATGATGTGCCCACCGCTGAAGACAGAAGATGGGTTCGAGATGCAGCTTGGTGTCAATCATCTGGGCCACTTCCTTCTGACCAATCTCCTGCTGGATATCATCAAATCCTCCGCCCCTGCTCGCATCGTCAACGTATCCTCCCTCGCCCACGACTTCAATAACGCCAAGATGTTCTGGGATGACATCAACCTGGAGAAGAACTACGACCCGGTGGCGGCCTACGGGCAAAGCAAACTGGCCAACGTTCTCTTCACCGTTGAGCTAGCGAAACGTCTCAAAGGTAAAGTAGCGTGCAGATGTATTGTTTCCTCATTAATGCAGGGTTTTAAAGACATAGATGTACGGGTTGAGATAAACTTTACTCCTCTCCCCTTTGACCATCCAGTACCTAAAGCTGAGCCCCAAGTCCACCCACGGCCAAATACTGACCTACAGAAACGTCTCTAGGCAGTCGATTTTAAGAATATATACTTAAATCTTCCGATGGCCTTTGAGATAGCTCAAAACAAACCAACTATGATGGATCAAAATAATTTACAGTATAGATTTGGCACTCAAGTAAGTTTCAAAATCGAGGTCATAAAACAGGGAGAGGTTGGACATTCAAATATAAATTCAAACCCCAAAGTTAACGATTGTTTATTTGCGCAATATTTGATCTCTTAATTGACTTCATAGGTACTCAGGTGACAGCCAACTCCTTGCATCCAGGAACTATCGAGACTGAGCTCACGCGCCACACGCAGCAGGCCATGAGTCTTCCATGGAGAATCTTCTTCAGGATCATGTGCTCTCCCATCGGTAATTTCTTCCGTAAGACGGCTGTGCAGGGCGCGCAGACCACCATCCACTTGGCCGTGTCTGAGGAACTGAAGAACACTACTGGCCAGTACTACAGGTTGGTGACACGATGATGATAGAGTAGGCCTACTATGAAAAAAATGCCTTTATTTTTCAAAGTATTCAGAGGCACGCGGTATGCTTTTAGCCTGGATTATCTTATTTGATTATGGTCGTTGCCACGATATCCATCGGGCTTGCGGAGGATGCACGTGTATCGAGCTCGCAAAAGGACTCACTGTTGTGCAATGGTCCATGAGCCTTGAAAGTTGCGACTTTGCAGAACATTACTACTTCGATATTATTTTGTGGACATCAAATGGATAATGTGCGTGCTAAACTTTGCTAGCAACTTTTTTTTATGCATTTTGTGCTTACACAGGCTTTACCCCGGGCCCAATTTCATGTAGCTTCTTATAGCTATAACAAAAATGAAATGCTTAGCAAGTGAAACTGAGTGACAACTTTCGTTTTTCGTTTGATCTTTTCAGTGATTGCGTTCCTGCCAAGACCAACAAGCAGTACGTGAACAGCGAGAACGCCCGCCGCTTGTGGGAGATGAGCGCCGAGATGGTTGGATTGGATAAGAAGGTGGACTAAACTAGATACTGTCATGCAGTGTTTGGTACTTACACGTTATTATTAAAAAATGTACGGATTCGGAGACTAACACGCCCTGTACTGTTGTCGTTGTTTTTGAAGCGACGGCAGTAGAAAAATACAAATGCAGCCAGCCTTTTCGTATGTTATATCTGTTTTGCTCGCTTTGTTTTAGCTCTAGTCACTGGCTGGTTAATAGCTCGCTATTGATGAACAAAATTGATTACATATACATTCAATAGAATGCAAGGAGAGAGGGACTTATTAACTGAATTTGTATGTCATTTTGGTGTTATGTACCATATAAAATTCACTTTATGGATACATAATTTTACAGAGTTAAAAGAAAGTCAAAATTGATTTCTTTGTACGTTGTGTAAATGCAATTAATTCTTGATCTCAAGTCATATGCTTTGTAGCCTATTGAGTTTTTCACTGGCTGATATTATGTACCTTAATTTTTGCAAAAGAGATACTCATCATAGACGACTTTTAGCAATGTCCCCATCGATTAAATGTTACAGAAGCTTTCAAGTAATAAGTCAGAAGTAGTTGGAAAAATATTGCTCAGTTTGTACATTGTTTTGTAAACCGAACATTAATCTTCTCAGAAAGTTTAACGAGAAAGTCAATATGTTTTAATGTTTTATTTGATTAATTTAGATTTGTGTGTGATTGTACTGCTATGATAGCTGTGTGTATAACTGGAGCGGTAGATTCCTATAAGTAAATGCAAGTTGTGAACACTAATGAGGTAAAAATAAAACATTTGTATTCCCAAAATAAAATATATCTTTCCGTTTCCCGTTTCTCTTTATCATCAACATTTGAAACTGCTTTATTCTTTCACTTATCTGTGGCTGATTGTTTTACTGTATGTGGAATATCTCAATTGAAAAGTAATCCACGTAATGCTACAAAAAGCAAATTAACTTGAAATATTATTATTCTCGGGTCGTATCTCTCGTATAGCGTTCGTTGCATGGTTTATTCAATCGATATTTATAATTCGTTTATATTTTTTCTTTACAATTACGTGCCGATGCACTTGAAATGCGAATCCGCTTGGGAAGTGGGAATTTGAGGTTTATTAAAAGCAAAGGTATTTTACGCAAATTGCAATAATTTCGTGTCAGTTTTCGTCACTTCTCAACAGAGGGCGACATATATTCCACCGATATCTCCCTCATTACCAATCCGCGAATACATTTCATGATTCTTCCTTTTGTAAAGCAGTATACTATCAAGCACATTCATATATCATACGCAACGCTCGTCTAAAGGTCTGCGATCGAGTGCTCCCGCAAAAAGCAAATAAAACCCACCAATCCGCTAATCACCGTGTATATTGCAGTTGACATTTGACCCTAAGCCAAACACTACATAATGGTGCGCAGTATAGCAAACAATACTTTATGTCGGGGTTTTGGTCAAAGTCGACGTGAGCGGGTTGAATTTCAATAAATTCCAGGTCAAGTCGGCTTACTCAAGTTAATATTCACCATCCCTGGCGTGTGTAAATGTAAAAACACCCGACTTTATATAATATTTGCTCTCGGACCGAACTGATGAATATCGCATTATGCAATTATTTTTATGTAGGATTTTTTTTCGACGCAGTTTTATGGAGATGACTAATTATTTGCGTGTTTCTTGCTTTTCAAAAATATTTGTTTTATGAAAACAATTCTATACTATATTGTTATATTGTTTAGCATAGACAAGTAAATTAAGGTTACTAAGCATATCATCTTCATAATAAAATTTGTGACTTTAAGTACTGTCACAACCTCAAATACAAGACATTTAATTTTTATAATACGCTTAGGAGATTTGGCAGAGTGGGCGTATAATTGACAAAAGACATTACCTTACATAACATATTTGTATACCTCCCGAAACGAGTTTTAAGAAATCATCACAATTACAGTAAAATCTTGACTTATACTTCACCTTTAAAGAGAATATGTGCGAGACTTAACGATTTACGTCATAATGACGTGAAAAGCGTACTTTTCTTACGCACAACTTAAACTGTTTTGTGAAGTATGACAGAAGTTATTCGAAATTTGTAATCGCCACAAACTATTGCATTCCCAATTTATCTCACATTATGAACAGACAATAATAACCGATACATTACTCATATGATTGTAATTTGTTTTGTGTATAAACTGTGGGTTTCTGTATATGTATAAATGGTACAGTTAGCCTATGATATAAAATTATACGGTCAAGTAACATGAAACATGCGACTTGGTCGCTTTTAAGCTCAGTTAGAAAATGGCTAAGGCTAGACGGTTGAATGGCGCGAAGGAAAGAGGCGTGGTTCAAATCACAGTTTTTCTTTCAAAACTTGCAATACTTTGATCAGACAGCGATTTTTGCAAAGCGACTGCAATCCCGAGAGTATGTATACAAATTTCGAATAGTTTTACAATAAGGGCAACTTCTCTCCAAACATTCCACGAATAACTTGTTAATTCATCTCCGTATCTCCCTAAAAGGCGCCCTCCAAAGATAGGACCTGCCAATGTCCTTGAGGCAAACGTTTACATGCTAACTGACCAATTGATTTTGGTTCCTGCGTGATGAAAGTTTAATTTGGTCTCAAACAAAAGTCTCGAGTCTGTGTTTGTCTGACCCAAATTCGTCTTCAGCGTCTTCGACATGTTCAAGGTGATGATAAGCCAGACATGGCTTCATCTTCTTTGGTCTTTCCTCTCTTGCAACTTTCTCGCTGTGATATCGTCTTGAGGAGGGTGCCGATGGTGCAATTTGTTGCCACTCTGCATCTTGCTGGTTTTCAATGGCGGAAGTGTAGGAGGAGCGTTTCTTGGTACTGTCTTCTCGACTCCTGTCTAAATTATGGTGGGCCTGTGACGCATCAGATATGATAACATGAGAAGGACGACTCGGTGATGTTGATGGAGGAAGCGTATCTTGTGATGCCTGTGAGGAAAGCTGTGTCCTGTTCGAAGGGTGCCTACTCATATCGGCTTGGTTTCTCGACCGATTAGGATCACCATCCAGCAGTACTGGAGCCTTATGAATGCGTGTTGTCGAATGCGAGTCCATTGTTGGAAGAGAAATTGTGTGTTGCACTTCTCTCGGATCCCCGCGAGATCGGAGGTCCGAAGTGGAATTGCGTTCTGTTCTGGAACCATGTCGGCGATCAGAAGGGTTTCTTTGTCTTTGAAAATCTTCATTCAAGTCTCAACCATTTGAGAACAAGTCTCATCTCATACCTCAAGTCTTTGAGAGAAAGTCCCAATTCAAGTCCCAACTCTGTGAGAGCAAAACTCGATTCAGGTTTCAAGTCTTTAGAACAAGTCTCATTTCAAGTCTCAAGTCTTTGACAGAAAGTCTTCCTTCAACTCTGAACTCTTTGAGAGCAAGTTTTAATCCATGTCTCACCCCTTTTAGGGCATGCCTTCATTCAAGTCTCAAGTCTTGAACAGGAGTCTCAATTTAACAAGTTTTGTATCATTGGAAATCTCACCTCATGTGAAATGCATCCATGTCTCCATGATAACTTCCTACATATTTCATTCCTTAATGATGAAAATTTTCTCTCTGCTTCAGGAATGGGTTTCCCAAACAGACTGCAGCTGAGACCATCCTGCAGACCATCAGCAAGTACTTTGTGACCGTTATGTCCTCGTCTCTCAAGCAGGTGTATTTTGTCCTCTATGACCAAGACAGCATCGACGTCTACACCAGGGAGCTGTCTAGGTTGGAGGTAGGCCAAATTGAAAAGGGGAGAATTAATTGTATGGGTCCTAACCTCATTACTGTCACGAGAGTTTAGTTTTTACTTCTGATTTCCTGAGTATCTACCCTCTGATTCAATCGATTAAGGCAGGACCTAAATTACATGGCTACGGTTTGCCACTTACATGGAAAAGAATGAAAGCCCCTCCCTGTACACACATGTGTGTTACTGCCAAAGAAGCAATGTAATTTAAATGTGACCTACAACAAAGTGTGATTACGGACCAGTGGTCAACTATCGTTGCTGGGTTCCCACAGGCATGGAAAAATCCTGGAAAATTCTGGAATTTAAAGCTATCATGGAAAATCAAGGAAAAGTCATGGGATTTTATTTTTAGATTTCTGTTGGAACCCTGTAGTTGATTTGTAACGTAACTCAAGCTGGGGAAAAAAAGCAGTGTGCGAAGGATCCCTGGTTTGATGAAATTCTTTGGTCTAATTTGTTGGTGAACTTACATCATAGGCCACATTTACAGATATTATTTCTGAATATGTATTTACTGACCCCTAAAACAAACATGATTGTGAAAATTTACCAACGTGACATGGAGTTGCAATGACAATGACAAGAGGATTTGGTTAGACTTTGGAAGCCAGACGTGGGTGAAAAAATGCTTGCGATAGTCTGTGGTTGTATCGTTGTAGGACCGTGGTGATTATACTTCTGTATTAGTTTATATAGTTTATTAGTTTGGTTGCCTGTCGTAGTCTTTTAGCACACTTTGTAGGACTTCATGATAGAATTAGTGAATCGAATTGGGAATCTTATTAGATAATTTTGGGTTGTGCATCCTGTGATTGTTACCCATTGAGTTTGAAATTGCTCTGACTATTTCGGAGAAATAAGGAATGACAGAGAAGTCAAGGGGAATTGTACTTTTCTCAATAATTTCCATTTTTATCACATTGTACATAATTATAAAAGATCAATGTGGAATTTTTGCACAAACTGGTTTAAGCCACTGCGTAAATAGATTCTACTTTTCTAGAAATTCAACTTGGCAGTTTGTCACACACTCTGATCTGTTTTGTGATTAGGCTCAAGTGTGCCAACAAGAATTCTCACATCAATTGCAAAACGTTCCCTTCATATTATGTAGTTGATTGGAGTTGTTACGCCCAAACTAAATCAAATGTCTCAACTATAGTTTGGGCAGTCCCAACTACTGTTTGTACAGTCCCAACAATAGTACAGAAATTCCAAACTGTAGTTGGGACAAAAACATAAATCTCAAGTAAAACATTGGGACTTTATTTCTCTTTTTTTTATCAAACTTTTTGTGTAAGCACCTTGTGGATGTGGTGGTTTGAAATCAACTTAGGTAGGGAATTGTGTATGGTGATATTTGAGTCTGTTCTCGTGGTGGATTCCGAAGATGTGTATTTTCAATAAGATGTTACTGGGAATTTTTTGATGTTTTTGCTTCAAGATTAGATTAGTCGGTAGATTTGAGATAGAAATTAAATTCTCCTGTTCGATGAAATAAAATGGGAAGTAAATCACAGACCATGTAAAAAAATTCCCTTTTATTATTAAAACAATTCCTTAATTCATGGATGGCATCATATTTTGTTGTCATGTGACAAAATCTATTTTACCAAAAATAAAATGAAATCATAGCATGGAAATTATTTTTCATATTTTAATAAATTTTATCCTAATACGATTTATAATCTTGTGCTGTATTGTGGAGGTTAGGTAACTTTGGAAAACCTGATGAATTAATGTAGTTTGTTATACCAAAAAAAAAGGAAAACCAAATACATGTACAATGTAGTTTTACCTCTACTATATTGGAAAGGTCATTCAAAGTGGATGCAAGACAAACTTCTGGTCCCAATACAAATCATGTTTCCCTTTGAGGTATTACAAAGATTGTTTAAAAATAAGTAAACCATTTTTAAATACAGGACAACTACAGATTTGTGGATCAGGAAATATTTCAATAACACAGCGTATTGTGTTTTAGATATTCTTGTAAATAAGATACATTTACAAGAGCAAACAAGAGAGAA